GCTTCACAACAACTTCGTGACTGTTCTTGAATGGCCCAGCCAGAGCCCTGACTTAAACCCCATTGAGCATCTCTGGAGAGACCTGAAAATGGCTGTCCACCAACGTTTACCATCCAACCTGACAGCACTGGAGAGGATCTGCAAGGAGGAATGGCAGAGGATCCCCAAATGCAGGTGTGAACTTGTTGCATCATTCCCAAAAAGACTCATGGCTGTATTAGCTCAAAAGGGTGCTTCTACTAAATACTGAGCAAAGGGTCTGAATACTTATGACCATGTGATATTTCAGTTTTTCTTTTTTAATAAATCTGCAAAAATGTCAAAAATTCTGTGTTTTTCTGTCAATATGGGGTGCTGTGTGTACATTAATGAGGAAAAAAATGAACTTAAATGATTTTAGCATATGGCTGCAATATAACAAAGAGTGAAAAATTTAAGGGGGTCTGAATACTTTGTGTACCCACTGTATAGCGGAGCATGCAGACGATAAGAAAGACACAGAAGATGCCCGGTGAATAAGTCCGTGCCTCAGAGACAGAGCAAAACAGGAAGAAAAAAAAATCCAAATAATGAATCTATTTCAGTATCATTGGTGTGCTGATCTATGTAAACCATGACAGTTACAGAGAGTATATATGTAACTATGGTAAACATGGGACAGTAAGCGCATCACGATGGAGGATGTACCTGTGTGCAAAGGCCAGTGCGTTCTGCGACGGCTCTGGACGGGCATCTGAGTTGGGAGGCGTGTCACAAATTTCATCTGTGCCATTGATGTTTTCCATAGGCGGAGTGACTGGGGTGAGGGGTGACGAGAGCTCGCCTGCTGGAGACTCCTGCATGCAAAAACAAAGTTGTTCTGCTGTTACTGTCAGGAGACACTGAAAATCAAACATTAGTAAAATATTCTAATTATTATTATTGTTGTTATTGCACTGCTAGTCATAATTAGTTGTGGCAGGAAACAACCTTGGAATCATTGAAACTTATATACAATTTATTAGTTCTATTTACCCATTTTACTACATTTTTTAGTAAATCATTCCTGGTTGTCTCTTTCAGAGGAAATGGTGCATTTAAAATGACAAAAACAGAAACAGTTTGAGTCATTGTTTTCTCTGTATGATTATCTGACCCAGAGATATTCAGTCCAATTTTATTTTTAAAAAAGTAAACAATAATCCCTGTCCTCACATTTCAGAAGCGTATCTTGAGAAGGATTATAAAAATTGTTCTTTTGGTATAAAAATGATTTATTTTGAGCCAATTAATTGTTTAATCAACTATAACTATTAATGAATTTATAATAACTTATATGTCTACTTATATATAAACAACTTAAATGTGATAATATAAAATAAGTAATAACTAACCTGAGTGATCTCAATGGCCTCTTAATACCAAAGAAATAAACAAGTTTTAAAAAATTGACCATCTTTCCCAAATAAGAAGGAGAAATGAAGTGTGTGTGTGTGCATGTGGGGAGGAGTGTGCTGTAGTGCTAAAAATGTGTGCATCTTAGTGAGCAGTTCTATGCCTATAGGCCATTAAATGTTGTATTTAGCAACTGCAGAATTACAAATGAATACTTATCCTTACATCCCATACAACCAAAGAATTATATGAGACAAATAATTGAGCTGCTCGGGGCCTGAGCACAATACGGCAGCAAATGACACTGCCTGTATGTCTTTAATGGACAAGCAGGCAGTGAGAGATAAGAGATGCATTATGGCTGGCATTACATTTTGCACTCCACATTTATTACAGTTGTATACCATTTAATATTTGTTCATGATACATTTCCACTGGGCTCTGGCCTATTGGGACCAGCATGCAGCATTTAGCTCTGTGTTTTCTCATCTTCTTCCGTTCTCATGTATTTTAGTTTATTTAGAGGATCTGGCGATTAGCAAGAAAGCCAGAAGGCATGTGGGTGAAATACTGACTTTCAGTAGTGAAACAAAGCTTCAGTACACCACCAAGATATAGCAGGCCAGGCTGCAGTCTCTACACTTCAAACAAACGTACCAAAAAAGACTCAAGGTACACGTCAGGTGTGCTCAGCAAAAAATAGCAAACAGGTCAATGCATTATCTACAGTATATCACCTCCCTGATTTCTTAGTTGTCTACTATCTATACCAATGCACCTTAGATCACTTTCTATATAGATACAGTAATGCATTGTTAAAACTTTTGTGTTTTTTTCTACAGTTAAATGTTTGGATGTGGAGTGCACTGATTGTTTTTATTACTGGGTGCAGCTGTACAGATCACATGGGGTGGGTAGAGATACCTGATCTCTGTCATTGTTTCTTTACACTGAAGAAGGCAGGTATGCTGAAACGTCTGTGTTTCAGCTTTTCAGTTCTAAGTATTAAAGCTGTATTTTGAGGCATCTTTTATAGTGTGGAAGCATTTGTCATTTCTGCAGTCATTACAGTTACAGCAATCCCTCTAGTTTCTGTGCTGTGGTGTGGTTGTGGTCAGTGCACGTGAGCCCCTGATGAGAGCGAAGCTGTGTGCTTGGCTTCATTACAAAGCATCCTCCCATGGGAAGAACAAAGTACTGTAGCATTTCCGCTCATGTGGGGTCGCAGCATTAATAGTACTAGTAATAGACTGCAGTTCAGCGCGGCCTCCGTAACAAACACATGAGGACATAAACCCTGTTAATAGCCTTTAGATTAAAGAACAGATTTCTCTGGAGATTCTCCTCTGAAACAAGTTCATTTTCTCTCAGACATGGTTACACATGCCCTGAAACACTCTATTATTGGATGTCTCATGCAACAAATACCTAACATACGGGCTAATTAGGTTCTCCAATGCATTGGGAGTGATTTAATACATTTACTTAAGTATAAGTTTGAAGAACCTGCACTTTTCTTGAGTATTTTCATATACATTTCAGAAAAAAATATTGTGGTTGTCACTTCGCTACTTTTATTTAACATATAATTAATGATTACCTTCTAGCTTAAGAGATACCATATGAAACACATGAGTCACTTTTTGGCTTGTGAACCAAGAAGTTTACCTACTATACAATGGAGTGTTTTTCCATTAATGTTTTGGTACTTTTACTTAAATATAGTACCGGAATAGTTGGTGTCAACATTTTCTAATTAAACATATTTTTGTATCTAGTTTTCTACCAAATCTTTTTCATTTTTAATTTTCCTCAGTGCCTCCAGTGATAATAATGAGGGAAAAATCATCACATCATCAACACATCTGTGACAGGAGGTCAGGACTGGGCTAACAAAATGGTGAAGTATTAGGGGGCTGGGCCAGTGTGTAGTGGAGGTACCTGAGAAGGAGATGTGGCCATCTCCATCTTTTCTTGACTCTTCTCTTTTGCAAGGCGTGCTGCTTCTTTATACTCTGCAAACTTCTCTGCAAACTGGACACACAGAACAGCCATCAATGTGGACTCTAATTCAACAATACTGCAGTTTAATTAGTTCAGCAAAGCCATATGTGCATGAACACACACATACATCAGTGTATAATACGTCATCTGTGAAACCAGAGGAAAGACAGAGTCAAGCTGTTGCCAATAAAGAGCCCACAGTTGAACTTAGACAAGAAGTCACTTATCCATGATGCCTCAGAAACATGAGCTAACTAGGTCACACTTTTTTAACCTTTGTATCACACACACACAGAGCAAAGCAGACTGTGCCATTGTGTTTTCCTTATAGAGTTTTCCTTTAATCAGAAGTTGTCAGTGGCTGAAGTTGATCTCTGAGGTTATTTTTGTTGAGAGTGAGCCTGAAGCAGTAAGGTGAGCTCAGCTGAGGGGCTTTAAGCAAATATAAACACTCTGGCACATAGACACACTCACATATCCCTGACGTCCTGTAAGGGTGCGGTTCATCACTGGCACTACTCCCACAGTTCTACAGAGTAATTTAGTATACAGTAATGCAGAGGGCTGCGTGGTGAAGAAATCAAATTGACAACTCTGCTGGAGCCGGTCTTGTGTCTGCCATTAGTGGAGTTGCAAAAAGTAACTCAATATCACTTCAATTCAGTCCAATATAGTAGTTCTGGTACAGTGATGTAAATGCAGTGGTTCTGGGTGTAAGTGCTTCAGGAATGTTGGCACTGCGGTTATCTGAGAAGTGAATCTGATTAGTTAGGCTTTAAAATAAAAATACTTCTCATTGAGTGGTAGATGTCTGTTAGAATGGCACACTTGGACCCTCAGACACAGTTCCTGTTAACAGTGTAAATACCACAGTAAGTCAATTAAACCAGAAGTGAAGTTGGGAAATTGGAAGAAGTTTGCAAAAATTGATAAATTCACATTTATTATTTTGTTCTGATTTTAGTCTGATTTGTATCAGTAATGTACAGTAAGCTTGAAACTGACCAGAACATTAAATACGATTTATATTATAGGTTACTGTAAGCTTTATTATTATTGTTGTTGTTAATAATAATAATAAAGTCTTATTAAGATTAAGATATTTCAAAAGAGAGACCTGAGAAAAAGTTCCCAACAAGCCATTTCAGTGACACTAGGCTACTGTCACAGTCAGAGAATAGGAGAATTATGAACTGGTAGACACAAAACATCCACTACTATGGATTATTGTTTACACAGTTGCACCCGGGGAAACACCAGAGTGTACATACTATAGTGTTTGTCTACTTTGCAGTCACATAATTGAACAAATTTGCACCTGATCACTAAGCAGGGATCAGTTAGTGACAAAGTGCTCCAGCAATTTAGAACTGAAATTTCACGAAGCCAAGGGGCCCATAAGAAACAAATTTTAGAAAGAAAAGGTCATTAGGCAGCAGCAGTCATACCCCAAAACCAAACCAAAAGTGAGATGACCTCAGTGACACAATCAAGGTTATTTCTGTGGACTTCAGAAAGCTGCCTCCAGAACCACAGACAGGTCACATAGTACATCTCATGCTGAATAAACCAAGCTACACCAATGTAGACCTACATGTAATATCAATAAAGCACCCTGTTCATTTTACACTTATGAAACATAACATATAAAAACATTTAAGGAAAAAATGGCCAGCGTTAAGTGTTATTAATGTCCAGTATGCAACGTGACAATAAATGTCTCTAATATCAGGCATTGTTATCAGTATCAGTCTCTTTATCCTTGTATTCTTGACACAAAGGACGTGTCAGTACTGCATGGATGTGTATGAATGTGAGGTTGTTGTGTGTGTGTGTGTGTGTGTGTGTGTGTGCGTGTGCGCGTGCGTGCACTGTGACAGTGGGGAAGCTGTGAGGCTTGCTAGTTCACAACAGGGCTTAATCATACTATAGAAGAGAAAATACACCACCTACTCAGACACACACACACAGAGAAGAGAACCCACACATATAGTTGCTTTTCAATGCACAAAGGGTGCCCACATAGCTGAGTGGTCTCGACGGGTGTCATATACAGTACAGCACACTGCGTCTGGCCATGGACATGTGTCACAGGTCTCTCCCCTCTCTCTCACCCCCCTTGCCTGTCTGGCTCTTCACTGCGGGCTTTCAAATAAAGCCTAAAAAAAACCTGAAGAAACTACTTAAACACACACACACAGAGAGATCCCAGAAAAAAAGCCTCATTAAGGCTTGAAATGCCATCCTCTCTCAGGAACTGGGCGAGAAGAAGGAAGGTGAAGCCACACTATGATTGATGCTTAAAGGGTAAAGTAGATGTGGTTTGAATGTGAGCGATGGTGTGGTACCTTGGATAGATGATGCTCAGTGGAGAAGCCCAGACCGTAGACAGTGTTGGCTCGACTGTCCGCCCACTGGCCGAACTTCTGTGAGGTCTTTGTGAACGCCATGTTGGGACTGATGGTGCTGTTGATTATTGCCTATAAGACAAAGGCAACCCACTTAATATGTATTAAATTAACTTTATTACTGCAGTGTGTAATATATATATATGTGTGTGTGCGTGCAGCTGTTATTATTAGTGCCTTCACTGTGTGTCTCTCAGACTCCGGTTCAGCAACCGTGCCAAAACAACAGTAGAATATATTATAAACAATTTGGGTCCAGCGATAATTTATTAAGCAAAAATCTCAAACATGCTTCACATCTAGTTTCTCAAATATGAGGATTTGCTGCTTTTCTCTATTTTTATCATTGTGAACTGAATATCTTTGAGTTGTAGACTGTGGACTATTCTTTAATAAAACAAGCTATTTGAATCAGTGAATGACGAATCAGTGCAATGAGGAGTTTAAACCATTTTGTACTAAACTACTAATCAATTAATAAAAAATAAAAAAAACACTGATAATTGCAAATGTACTGTTTGTGTATGTGTTTGTATGAGGTCAATCAGCAGTGCAGGCTCACACCTGCTCACACAGTAACGTCCCTGCTTAGAAAGGGAACTGCTAAGTTTAACTTTGCCATGAATTTGATGATCTAGCATCAGCGAACAGGACACAAACAGGCACGGCAGACAGCCAGAGTGACAGATAAATCTGGTGAGGACAAACTGGGAGGGGAGATGGTGGCCATGAAAAACCTGAAATGTGGTGAAAGCTTAAATAGTATTTATGACTGGTTTCTAAAGATTTGTATCTTCAGTAGGAGGTTTTTCTCTTTTCATGAGATTTGCTGACAAAATGAAATACATGGAACATTTCCAGCCTTACCCTTTGATTCACATGAGAACAAAATAGAAGACTCCCTCTAAATCTTATACAATAATCTTTTTTTGTTAAGTAACACAAATGGAGAATAAATTCATGGCTGATCAATTAGCAATGTTGCATAATAGCTGATATAATGATAAGTTTGTGAAGGTAGCAGTCAGTGACGGTGTGTGTTACACAATAATTGAACTATCTAATGGTTCACACACACTTGGTGATCACTGGATGTAAACTTTGATCCCAAATCTTTGCATTCTTCTCATTCACCTGGTTTCACACTTTTCTATCTGTGCCACTATAGTTATTTCTTCTAGCACACAGTTGTTTTTCTCATTTACCTTCGGCGCTCCTCCCTACATAACCGGTGGAGAGTGTGCATGTGTGTGACTGCCCTGTCCCTATAAAGAACTCTCCTCTAACTTTAGTCAAGCTGAGCTCTTCGTCCATCACATCACACACATCAGAACTATCGCTCCATGATCTCTAACAAGAATATCCTGAGACATGCATACAGTGCATACAGACACATACAGACAAACTCACAAATACAGTAGCTGCACAGACATATTGAAACATGAGCAGCTAATCCTGGGGCAAGCTGCAACACTGAGCTCTTTTAGGATGTGTTTACACATTAGAAACCAGTGCAGAGCACTATCAACACTCAGTAGATCACAATATGTGTGAAAAAGTGTGCAAGGTGTACAGTAGCAATCCCAATCAGAATCTCACCTTGGTGCCATCCAGGCTGATGATGCGGTAGACATTGCGCGTGCTGTCATAGAAGTAGGAGACAGTTACGGCATGCTTGCTAGTGGGCAGCCAGTTTTTCTTGGTGTTGGGGTCGATCTGGAAGACGTGGGCCCGTGTGCTGTAGATGGGCTGCTCCCTGAAGGGGACAAAGAAGAAGTGGTGAACCTCTTTGTGACGCAACACCAAAGTCTCACCGAACCCACCACCAGCACCGAATCTCCCACCCACGGGGGAGTCCGATCTCCTTGGCAACCGAATTACCATCTGGCCATCCTCCATAGTTAGACCACAGAAAGAGAGGCTATCAGAGGACTGCTACATTTACTCACTGACTTGTGGAACATGGATGACCAGCTAACTGAACATTTAAACTACAGCAGAGTTCCCACATTCATCTCAAGTCTGCACTTCCTCTCATACATTCTCTCTACATACTAAATGCATGTTATCCAGTAGAAACTGTCTTTCCTTCTCTCTGTGTAAGGCAGCGCTGTCGCTCCTTGTTCTGATATGGGAATGCCTGCAGCACTGAGTGAGGGTCACACAGGGGAGCATGGGGGGAGAAAGGAGAGGGTTGAAGACTAAATATAGACAGTAGGCCATGGTTAACTACCATAGACACACCTCACAGAGCTGCAGTTTCCACATATATAATGCATAAACACACACAATGACACAAACATGAGGAAATTATAAATCTGTATTTATGTGGGAGTGTATACACTAGGTGGATGGGTTCAGCTGAGATGGTTTAATTCCTTACTGACCTCTGTATGACACCAAAACCACAGTTTAGATTCAGCCCTACTGCTGTTGGGGATTATATAAAAGTTATCTTTGTTTTGTGCACCAGCTTCCGCCTTCATCCATTTATGCCTCACTCCTTGGTCTTACAATGCCCACATACTGTAAATTCCAGCATTGTTGGGGCTTCTTGGGTAATATCTACAGTCAGTACACATACACACACATTGAAAGCGCAGGGTGCAGAGGGAGATATTCTGGGCTGGCACTGCTGGCAGAGCGGGAGATAGAGAAGTGCTTACACTGCACTGAGGGGGTGATGGGGGGCATCAAAGGCTCGCTGTATAAATGAATATTAAAATTCAGTAGCAGCACCCCTCCTGTGTGTGATTAGCCAGGACTGGGGGAAAAAATATACAGAGACAGGGGAAGAGAGAGAGAGAGAGAGAGAGAAGTTTGATAGAAAAACAAAGAGAATGATGGGGAATTGGGGAGTATAGGAAGTCAGAGAGTGAATCTAGGATGATTAATGCCATTCCACAAAGCTGCTTGTGGAGTGCTGTGTGCGAATTATCATAATCATCAACAGCAGTGTAAGTGGCGGAACTGTGAGTCATTTCAACTCTCCCCCGGCACACATCACACAACCACAGCCTGTCCGTATGATCTGTGCAAGAGCTGCTTGGCAACAGGCATCATTTTTCATTGCATAATTTGATGGAGCTGTGGCAAATTTTGCACTTGTTGTTACTTGATTGTGTGTGTACCAAACACAGCAGTGTTCTTGTGCTTTGATTTTTACACGGATGCCTGTGCCAAAGAGTTTTGTTCCAAAATGACACCCACCAGTTGTCAAAAAAAGCAATAACTACTCCTACAAGTGAACTTTTACAAGACAACGCAGTAAATGATGGAATGTGATTTAATTTGAATGCTGCTTTATTAAATAAAAAAATAATACATTGTATATACATTGGACTGAGCCAATATCCTGACAGTGGACATGGTTATGGGACAGCATGGAGGTCAGTTCAGATCACACTCACCTTCTTACACTCCAGCAATGAACTCTGGCACTAACATAGGTTGCATGGTGGATACACAGATGTAGCAACAAAGAGAACGAGAACGAGCAGGGAATGCCCTGACATGCTTAAATCGTCCATGATTTCATGAAATACATGCAAACAAGACTGAATGTGGCAAACACCAAGCTGCCCACATTATTATAGGAGAGGGAATGTGGTCGGAGGGAATGGAAGAGGAAAACAAGAAAAAGTTTGAGCGTCAGCGAGGGGGTAATTTCAGTGGAAGGCAAATGAGTGCTAAAGGAGAAAGTGTGTAGGAGGAAGAGGATGAAGAGGAGGAGGAGGTGTTTAGCATGCAGAGCACACGGCATGACACAAGGGCAGGTGATGGAACATGAATGTTAAACCAGAGAGAGGAGGCAAGGCGCACTGAGAGAGGGAGGGAGAGCGATGAAGTGAGAGAAGGAGAGAGGGATGAAGAGAATGTGGAGAAGGTAATGAATGTAGAGCACTGATGAATCCACCTGTCTTCTAAGAGAAGGAGCTGGAGGGAGTGGGACACACTGAACTGCCACACTGAGTGGTATAAAGAATTACATAAACTATAACTATGTTGTTCAAACCTGAACTTTCTGGAATGCAATAAGAGTTTTAAACAAAGAAGCATGACAAGTGTCAAACAGCTACATGTCCAAGACACTTGTATTGACTTCTGTAAGACAATGATGGATGTAAGGGCCACACTAAGGAAAGCAATATACAATGTTCATATATAACTTATATACTTTTTTTTAGTATCATGTGAAATGTGTTCTGGAGAACTGGATATTGGATTACTGATGTTGCAAATGTTAGTTTGTGTTAGTCTGTAGTGTTTTTGAGATGCTCTCTTACTCTTATTGATGACATCAAAGTCAGCAACTCTTAGCTTGAATTCATCAGTCTGTGGACTAAAACACATTTTTGACTGATATGATAAGGCACAGATTTCAAAATGGTACATTTTTAAAGTAAAGTTTTAAATTGGAGCATCTCAAGATTTATTTTTCATTTATTACAGTAATTGTTTTACCACAGACATTAACTGAGTGCAGGTATTTTTTTAGAAAACACAAAGGAGTGCCATTGTAGACCACTAATAAGAACTGACCCTTTGATAGTATTGATTTTATTTACTGAGATTTTGAGATGTTTCTGCCTTCACCCAGTTAAATTGAGGTCAATGGAAAAATATACCTAAATATAATATATCATTAAAGTCTGATAATCCACAGCCTTCACTGTGAACAGTTTTATTTGAACTACTTTCTACCAAAGAAACAGTCCCATGCTACTATTGACTGTGGTGTCTGTGGGCAGCATTAGTGTATAAACAAATAGTGTATGAAATATTTAAAAACTAATGACCAAAAACATGGCTAGGTGACTGGTTACCTTTGCTTGTAGGATTTTGTGACTGGGGTGAACCAGCTTTGAAAATATGTTAAGCTAAGACACACAGCTCAGCTCTGCACACTTGCCCTAGGTACTGATCTGTGATCAGCACTGAACTTGCACACTTACACACTCACACAGACATCTACAGGAGTGGCGACATGTGTTGCCTATAGTGCCTCTAGTGCTCCAGGGATCTGATGCACAAATCTACAGGTCACAATACGTAACCAAAAAGCTTATACACACACAGAGTCATTTTACACTATAAAAGCTTTCATTTTCTACTTCAGTGTGTCGCCTGTAACTATGCAACTGCTCCTATTTCTGCAAACACTGACACTGAACCAGAAGCCAGATGAAATGACCCATCTCAGGAGCTTTCACTTCCCCTTGCCACCTCCAGATCCACCTCCACTCCTCTACTCTCCAGAAGTTGTCCTTGTTTCCATAGTTTGTCGTTAATTCAACCTAGTAGAGCTCAAAGGCAAGCAGATCGTGTTTAAGGCAGAGAGAAGTCTTTAAATGAGAGCTCCCTGTTGCTCCATCTACTGGGAGCAGCTTGGGTGACCTGCGATGTGCCTGCCTGTGAACACACACACTCACTCTCTGTCACCCACCCACACAAACAAAGACAGAGAGAGAAACTGAGTCCATCTGTGCGTTAATTGTATTTGCCCAAGGAAGTGAGAGCGCACCACAGACAGTGTTGATAGGCATCTCCAGTTCTCGTCCGGCATTAATGTTCTTCTCTCTGGCTTGGTATCGGGCCACGAGGCCGGAAGTGAAACATGACTCTGTCTGTCTGTGCCATTACTGCTAGACAACCGATCTGCACCTATGTACCCTTGCATCTCATCTGCACATACTCAGACTTTAATAAACATGCTGTATGCACCAAAGTGTTTTGAATAACGGTTTACAATTTATTCCACTGTGGATCAACTGAGTCACTGAGTCAGTTGCATAACAGTAACTTAGTCACCAGTATTGCAGAGCCCAGTGGCGAGCCGAAGCTGAGTGGGAGAGCGCTGAATGATGTGCTGCCCACATGTAGGAGGGCAGAGTGGGTGCTTCGGAAGCCTCCGGAGTGTTGTAAATAGTTAATGCAGGAGTTTGGGCTGATGCCTTGAAATCACACCATGCCTGTGCCATATTGTTAACCTCCCGCTGTGCAATTAATCACAATGAACTGTGGGAGACAGCTGCTAATGAACGGCAGGCTTGGTGGGGGAAATGGACTGCTGATCCCAGGGTTAAGGGACATGCAAATGAGCAGCACCACGCACTAGTCGGATATTTCACTGATGGGTGATGTTGTTGAGTATGTATAATGTATAAGGTAGTGGTCACAGTGCTTCCATAAAGACAGGAAGCCACTTTCTGTCAGCGCTGTAGCTAACGACATTCCCCTGCTTCTGACTTTATACTGTTTCAGAGTTTCTCCACACAGCAGAACCAGGAACAGAATGTGCAGTACATCAGATCACAGACATCAGACTATCTGAGAACAGATTCTGCTCGTACACATGCTTGCTTTCAGAATTACATAACTGTTTATAATGCAGTTGGAGAGTAAATGGTGAGAGGGAAAGTCCTAAAAAACAGCATTCCTATTCCCTCTCTCACTGTTCCAGGACTGAAATAATGGATTGTGGAATAGTAAAGAATTTCAATGTTGCTTCATCTTTGTGAGCACACCAAGAAATTCCTATATAGCCACCCCTGGTAGGGCAACTTTGGGAGTCACTTCAGATTAACCCCCTATGTTCATCTGAAAAGTTTGATGATGGGGGCAACTTCTGCACCTGCATTGGTAAACCAAGGTGTCGGGCCTTAAGTGTATTTGGATTTTTTAAACAGCATGTTCAGAAGAGAAAGGCAGACATTGCTTCATTACATGCTACAGAAATTGTTGTCTTAGTGTGCCGCAAATCAAGACCATCACTACTCAACCACATTTGTCAGACAGCCTGCCTGAACTATATATCCACCGTCACCGTCATGTAGGACAGATGGATTCATACACCTGGGTCATTGTTATGCGTGGTGTGGCTTCCATGGCTTGGAAGTTAATACCTTGTAAGACAACCTCAGCTGCTATGGATACAGAAAGGAAACTCAGTCAGTTTGTGCCATAATAATCACACTTACCCCATTGTTGTAGCTGAAATGAAAGGCGACACCTGACTACTGATCCTTTCACTGGCAATAAAAACGGATCTCTCGGATTGGCTGCTGCGTATGAAGGTCTTCTCTTTACACGATAGCCTCCCTTGTATCACTGTCGTTGCATCTGCAGGAATTTGATGACAACTGCTCCATTCCCCTCCGCTGTCACCGCATGAATTCACACATACATGTCGTTCTACACATGGCACGGAAATCAGATTTTCTTCTCCACCACTGGCGTTGAGCGTTTGGCGATGAAGCAGCAGCAGAAGTATCGGCGCTGTGAGAGATCCAGCGCAGAGTCCAATGGAAATTCGACAGGCGTCCTGCTGTTGTGGTATAAATGACAGATCCTCGTTGGAAGGGTGGAGAAACCCTGCTGCCTGAACCAAGAAAGACCACCCTCGTTTAGACAGTAGACAACGCACAGCATCACACTATCCACCCGCGCGTATCTCTTTCTCTCTCTCTCTCTCTCTCTCTCTCTCTCTCTCTCTCATTAGCATAGGCTCACGGTTACACCCCCACTCTCTCGCCCAGACTATGGCTATTTCACAGATATTCCACACTCTCAGTATTAGCAGTTCATGGCTATAATAAAGCTGGCAGGGGCCTTGGTATAAACCTAATCTCTTGTTCTTGTGCAACATAAGGATAAGGATAACATTAATTTATGCCCATGTTTTTACTTGTTCGCATGACGAATTCCTGGTCTCCTTATTATTGCTGGTATGTGGAGTTGTTTGCATCTGAATATCATGCAGTTTTTATGCAGTAGCCTTATATGTTTTTTTATTGATCTAAGCCTATCCACAGACCCTTGAGTGCACCACGCCCCCAAACCGCTCCACTTCTGGCTGATGCATCCCATTCCCTCCTACCCACAACCCTGTCAGTACTGAGCTGCTGACATCACGACACCGGCCTCCGCAGTGACGTCAGCAGCTCAAGAGACTGATGTCATTTGATGTTTTGTTGATTAATGATTATTGGGAAGTAGCATACGCACCTCAGGAAACTGATATTTCAAGGTTGTAATATATAATTCCCACTTTAATACCCAAAATTTCTGGAAATACAATTTGATAATAAAAAACCAATAAATAACCAAGTTCATGCTCCATGATTTATCTGTTAATAAATAATTTGGCTACCTGCAAAATAGACAGTGCACTATAATCTATTTTTTAGGTGACTGAATAATGAAAAATGTGAAGAGTCCGCCATATCTGGTAAATATCAGTACACAAACAACTGGAGAATTGATTGTGTTGGGTCACACATATAAGCTTATTTGAACGTGTGTACGTCCCCTTTAAATTAATGCGGAAGCGCGTACACAGGAAATTAGCTCTATAGAAATGCATCATAGCACCTTCAGTTTTGTTTACATGTGAAATGCAGTCTGGTGAGTTTGACATGGTATGGGTTTTACTTAAAATAAAACGTTTGTAGCATTTAGTCTATGTTTCCATAGACCTATTCCTCACATACATACAGAGGAAACGTCTTTAATACCATGTAACAGTAAGAACGTTTGAATTAGCTACCTAGGCACAGCTCTGTCTCTAGATGTAGCTTAGCACGAGCTAAGGTTTGCTAGCTTGTTTCATAGCTGGACCAACCCCGGTAAGTTTCGGTTTCCTCAGTAGCTTTTTGTGGCACTTTCATTTCTCTTCGGTGCCATTGTCTGTTGTTCATTGCCGACTCCACCGATTGTCATGTCATGCTTTTATTTTCTTTCGGGTCAGTGTTGATGCTGAAGCTTCGTAAAGAACCGCAGCATGTACCCCCACAGCCCTGCACCAAGGGGGGCATCAGCCTACAGTAACGGCCTGTACTCACAACCCCCTGCGCCTAGGTATTATGATTACAACCACCAAAGCCCGACAGATGTCAACAGGTGAGCCTGACGAACAAACTAAGTGCACTGGAGTGCTGGACATTAGCAGCGTTAGGAAAATAAAAGTTTACTGCTAAAGGTCACAGGTTGGACCCGTTTTCGTTAGCCTTTATCGAAATTTAGATGTATAATTACTAAGTCACAGTTAAATGATCTTTACTCGTATAATCGGATCTCCCAGACTGTCCAGTCCTGAAGCTTGTAGTGTCTCAGTGTCTGAGACATGCTAAATGTAAACTGTTCCCTGAGATAACTATGACTTTGTCCTCACTGTGATGGTCAAAGAAAGATTTGATATGTACAATAAAGACAAAACAGATATTTGTTAGTTTTCTCATCCTTTATTTATTTTCTCTAAGGTTGTGCTCATTTGAAACAGTGTTTCCTTTATTCATCAATCCTTTTACAGTAATATATGTTTGTGTTTCATTAGCTTTTATGTTCCTAGAGTTCAGAGGTTGCCTCCATATGAATGGAAACACCCACCATCCACCGCTTCTGTCTCACTTCCTCATACACCAAATATGACCAGTGGGCACAAGTATGTCATTTCCCCATTAGTACACTACTGAACAATCTCAGACTCATTCTGCTGTTTCTGTAAACTCACATTCATTTTATGAATATTTGTCTTTAACATGTCTCATCACATTTCCATATCATTATGTTTCTTCCAGGAGGCAGAATGGCCAATATAGCCCCCATGTTGTAAAGCGCCAACGCCTCGATTCCTCTCCCCACCCGCGGATAGGCTCCCCTGTAATTCGGGGCCCTCCTCCCCCTAGTCGCCCTGACCAAGTGGTGACTGGGTCTTTGAGGCCATCCTTCAATGATTTTGATGACTCTTATCCCAGCCCACACTCCCATTCCCACCATCATGGACTTGCTGGTCCAGAAAGCTCCAACAGCCTGCAGGCCTACGCTAAGGACAAGGTATTGTCAGATGACCTTAACTTGCCCCTGACATACATCAAGTCAGATGAATTCTTCATACAGCTGCACTTGGTTTAGTCAGCGTTGCATGTGTTTGTGCTCTCAGCTGAGTGATCAGATGGTGGAGCTGTTTGAGGCATGTCAGCAGCAAGCTTCTGATTTGACTCAGAAGGAGATATGCCGAGCTCGGCTTCAGCAAGACATACAGTGTGTCTTTGCAGGTATGTAGGAATTAGAGGCGGTTGTTCTATGCTGACTCTCTGTTTTGGTTCTTATTCACTTAGTGTGTTTCTTGCAGATGCACGGCTTTACTTGACTGGATCTTCTATGAATGGACTGGGCTGCCGGAGCAGTGATGCAGATCTATGTCTGGTCCTCAAAGAAAAAGTAAGTATGTCTGACTCTGCTCTGAATGTCATCCAGAATTTGCATGTGTAAAATGTACAATCGCAAATAGCCACTTCCTCTTGAACACCTGCACTTTTATCTCTTTCAGACAAGAGCGGATCCTCTTCTTCTGCTCTCGGCCCTCCAAAGATTATTCAAATCACTCTGTGAGTAATAAACAATTCAGCAAATATCATATCTTTTAAAATAATAATGGTCTGTTATTAATTTTCAGCAAGGTTGGAAACAGTTTTTGTTACGGTCTAACTGTTTAGTTATTGTTCAGCTTTGCCACATGTAGCCAACATGTTTGTCAAGCAAGATTAAACATTTTGGGATCGTTTGTGAATTTTATTTCCCCAAATGTTATGTTCCCGATAAACACCACTAGGTGGGGCTATTTACCATGTGGAAAAAGAGTTTCACGTTTACTGAAAAAGCAACTGGAACCATCATAAATCCGATGATGCTTGTTTTGATTTATAGCATATTTGGAGAGGACTCAGCTGATCAGAGCCAAAGTGCCGATCCTCAGGTTCAGAGAGAAAGGCAGGTAGGAGCAAAACACTTGAAATCATCAAACCACAGCAACATCATCGAATTAGAAACACATGCTTATGAGCCTTTTACTCCTCCCCCCTTTAGTGATTTGGAGTTTGATCTGAACATAAACAACACAGTGGGCATCAGAAACACATTCCTTCTGAGGAGTTACGCCTATGGTGAGGGAGACAAGTAATATTTTTATATCTGTACTACTCACATTTGTAACTTCCTCTGTCTATTCCTAAGTCCATTCTAACTGTGACTGTTAATTAATCCATCCATAAGCAGTGGAGCTGTTTATTGCAAGGAAGGCAGAAACGTTTTTTGACATGCTGTGTTTGCATGATCTCTCTCAGCTGATCTCAGGATAAGACCCATGATCCTTGTCATCAAAAAGTGGGCACGACACAATCAAATCAATGATGCCAGCAAAGGAACACTGAGCAGCTACACACTGGTGCTGATGGTCCTGCACTACCTCCAGAGTATGTACAGTCTCACACACACAAATATTTTTGTCATTTCCATTTACTGTCGGCTTACGGTAAATTACGTCATGTATGTGTTGTTTTCTTTATAGCTCGTAAAGAACCTGTCCTTCCTTCTCTGCAGAGGGACTATCCAGTAAGTGCTTGCATTGATTTTGCAGTCATGTAAATTTGATTTCAAGTATCAGTTTAGACATTTTTTTTTCTTTCTGACCAGGGAATTTACACTAAGTTCAGCTAAAAACGTCTTTGTATATCGTCAACAAACAAATCAATTTTATTTGTATAGCGCCAAATCACAACAAAAGTCATCTCAGGACACTTTACAAAGTAAGGTTTAGACCTTACTGTTATCACTATTATTACATAGGGACAACCCAAAAAAATCCCCCTTGAGCAAGCAGGGGAGGAAAAACTCCCAGAATATCAAGACATACATGAAGTAAAACTCCCTGCAGACACTTATAAAATAGATACATTGTATGTGAAGGTTCCAAAATGACTTTTTCAAATGAAAGTGTTGTGGGCAGAACACCAAAGACATCCCATAACCCTCTGTGTCACTCAGTTTTAAGTTTCTGTCCTTTTGTCCTGTGCCTCGATTTTCAGGAGTGTTTTAATCCCTTCATGGACATTAACATGGTTCCAGAGGGATCCAAACAAGTCCCCCCCTACATCTCAAGAAATCCATCCTCTCTGGGAGATCTGTTTTTGGGCTTTCTCAAATACTATGCCATGGACTTCAGGTATCTCCCAAGGACATCATGTTACTGAGTTTAATGTTTCACAATGCATCCATGGGTCTTTTTGCCTGCTCGTTTTCATTCCCTGTCTCTTGCTCCTCTTCCCAACTTCTTCTTCTTCTTTCTCTCTCTCTCTCTCTCTCTCTCTCTCTAGTCTGTGTCATCTTCTCTGGTTTCATGTTTCTGGGTGAAAGACAGGAGCAGCTGGGACCTTTGGCCTTACACAGCACTAACATGACATACCACGGTCCCTGTGTTTGCTGTATGTGTGTGTTACTGCGCCATGCCACTAAAACTTAGCACACAAATATGCGTTGATTTTACATTTTATGATGTCCAATGCTGGAGCAGGTCGTGTGTGTTAAGGGATTTAACATAGTTTTGCCTTTGATGTACAAATTGCATTTTGACAATAATAAAAATGCTACATGTTCACATGACTTTTCCCCAGCAGGTGTATTATAGTGCAATGAATTATAACTAAAGCTTGGGAGGTACAGAATCTGTTTGCAGACTTCCCCTTTGTCTGTTGGCAGTAAAGTGTGCATATTTTGCCTTTAATTAGCTAAAATCTCCAAAGCTACTGATAAGGTCCTGAGTGGCCTTTGTCATTGTGTTCATGTTTTGTCTAATAAGCACTAAATGGTTCCCTTTGCTGTGTCTTGCAGGTGGGATAAGCAGGTGATCTCTGTTCGAGAGGGCAGAGCTTTGCCTAAGCCCAGTTCTAAAGAGTGGAGAAACAAATACATATGTGTAGAAGGTAAACATTTCAGTGGATATAACAGGCTACTGCCACCAGCACCACAAAATGTCACAGTCAGTGATAGTGATGCCTTGTGTTTCAGAGCCATTTGAAAAGAATAACGTTGCCAGGGCAGTCCATGAGAAGATGAAGTTTGATGCCATCAAAGCCCAGTTTGTGGAGGTACATGTTGGTCCTGGTGCTGACTTCACATTTTCTTCCTCCGACCCCCTGTGTGCCGCCTGAATGTTATTTTATAATTCTCCTGCTTCTCACCTCTCTGTGTCTGTGCAGTCATGTCAGATACTGCAGCAGAGGAAGGACCTGGACTCGATCCTCCCAGTCAGAGCCATCATTAATAAAGAGTCATCCAAGAGATAAGAACAAGCTGACTGGAGGCTTCTACCACAAGACGGGCCTGTGCCCTGAAATGATGAGAGACCTTTGGGATGCGCTGAGAGGAGCCCTGCTGCCTCTGCACCTCACAGCCAGAAAGAATCTGGGACTAAAAGCTGCGACTGCCTGCAGATTGGTCCCATACTATGTGTCCTATGGCAGTACCTGTTGAATTTACTGCATCAGTTACTCGATTGCTTTTGCAGAATTTCTGTAATGGATATTATTTTAGTAAACAAGTGGAAATTAACATAAAATATTTGTGGAGTGACACCAGAAGACTGAAATCAAAACTTAAACCGAGAGATGCTGCACTGAAGCATGAGAACAATGGTCAGTGTTATTAGAGGTGGTTATTGCTGCTACAGGCCATTCTTCCAAATGCACACAGTGGAAAGTAGCTAAAAACTATAAGATACAAAATGGTTCCAGTAATCTGCTCATATCTGAAGCTGTCCTAAATAGAAGCCACAGTAGTTAGGTTGGAAAGCCTAGTCTCAGCCACATTTATCTCTGCTCTTAGTTTTAGTTACATCCGCATTCACATCCAGCCGTACTGCTCTTAAGATTAAAAGATAATTAGTTACCACCACATATGTTTAGTGTATATAGTCTATTGCCTATCTGGACCAATGTGTAACATTAAAGCCTTTTTTCTATTTTTCTGAGTCAGTGGCAAAGTAAGAACATTTTTCTAAACATGCATTAAAGGCCCTCTCCTTTTTCAGCATCACTGAGTTTTTAAGCTGCTCTGAAATCTGGGCTTGTTATTGTGTATAAGTTAGTGTCACAAATTAAAAGATTCTGAGGTGATCACTGGAGAGTTGTGAAGAGACCGCAGCCTGGATATTGCCTCTCCTTGTTTGTATTATTTCCTAACAGATGTCACTTTTATGCTGCACCCGTTGACTGTTCACAGTCATAAGTTATTTAAAGGATTTACACTTTTGAGTGGAACCTTTCTTCCCTCTTTTCTATATTTCCTCAGCTCTTTTGTACATTACTGACTTTTAAAAGTTTCTTAAAAAAAAATCATATCTGAACATGTATGATTGTTTTCACTTTATATCTTGAGCTTTTGAGCTCTAGGTGAAGCCCAATAAATTCTTGGCTATGTTAATAGAAGTGCCAAATCCATATTAAACTGTACACTTGTATCTCTGGGTTGTTGTTTTTGCTTAGTTTTTTCAGCTTTCATTCACAGTGGTATAACAGTCCTTTGGGATATGGAAAGTAGATAATACTGAACAATAAACATTTGTTAACCCATCACACTGACATATTTGACCACCTTGCAGTGAAAAATCAACCTGGTCCACCAGATGTTTTAATTCCACAAGGGAATGCGGATTTCCTCTGTCATCAGGAGCACTTGTGTCATTCAGTATATTGTATTGGCTCTTGGGAGTCACAGGCCTTGAAAAAGTTTGTAAAATTATGGATGACTTCTGAATTTCTACAATTTTTGTCTGAGAGATCACTCCAGCCTACTCTGGCAGCCAGTGTGCTGATTGATTTTTGTTGTGGTTTGACACCTTATTACACCTAGTTTTATGACTTGCCCATAGTGCTAACACTGCTACCAACAAGATGTGTGTGTGAGGCCCTCTATAGTGTTGCCACCAGCAGCAGGAGGAGGACCAGGGGGTACTGTTTCAGCACATGCTCTATATTTAACTTGGCAAAGGGGATTTTGATCTTAAAGCCACATTGTCTCAGTCAGCTGTTGGACACTGGCACACAACAAGAGCCACATATTGGCCAGTTTCTCAAATCTTTAACAACCTTTTTATAATATGTTGAAAATCTAACTTGTTAAATTTGTATTTCACAGCAAGTGAAACATACCGTCTCACAGTGTTACCCCTCTCTCTCTCCACTCCCCTCTTGTCATTCCCAGCTCACTCTATTTTGGTCCCTCGCTGAGTCAGATGGACAGTTCCCAACTTAGAATGACACAAACAGGCAGATCAACTCTTCCTGAATTCAGGGCACCTGAAAATACTGAGAACTTTAAAATACACTGATAATCAACCGTGGGAACTGCAAAAGTAAAAGGTGGAGGATATTACCAAGATGGAGGAAAGTGAGCGACTGGACTCGGAGCCAACGGAGCTGCAGGAACTCCAGGGTGGAGCTTCAGAGTCCATGAGCCAGGATGATGAAGACGAGTTGGAGGAACTGCAGAACAGGTGATTTACACTCTGGATAATGTTAATTGTGGCTCATGTTGTTTTGTGTGATGTGGTGTCTTTTCTACTGGGAGATTTTACCATAAAACCTATTGAATGGAGTCTGCGTGAAACCGCTTGTTTCTGGGCTTCTTAGCTTAGACATATTTTGCTTTATAGAGCAAAAAGAGGAGGTGTATCCGTGTTACACAAAGCAGCAACCTCTCATGTAATACATTAATTATCAGTTCATCTGTTTTTCAGCTCATTCTAGAAATTAGCAGCGTGGTACCAGCTAATATTTGATATACATATATTTTAAATATCATTTATCATGTTTCATACTGGGTGTCTTAGCTCTCCGTACCATGTCATAAATAGTAGAAGACACAGATATGTTGGATGTATCTTAGAAGGCCAGGCATCTCTTCTCTAATATTACATGACTGATACTTTGGGACTTCACCTTGCTGTAACCCTGCAGGGGCCGAGCTGTTTTCAGGGACAGCTCCGATCATTCATCACTCACACTGGTCTCCTGCTGGAGGTCTACACTCCTCGAGTAATTGTCTTGAGAGAAGAACAGGGAATGTTTTCAGCTTTGATTTTCAAACTTGCTTTGTGCTGCAAGATGTGAATATTGGCACATGTGCTCAAATAGGGTTATGTTTTGATGTGATTCACTGGTTTGTTCTTGCATTTCAGTGAGCTGTGCCAAAAGCATCTCCTCTTGCAGTCATACTCTTTAGTCATGCCCTGCCTCTTCTTGTGAAAGGCAAAAACAGCCTTCCTCAAACTCTGTCCATTCCTCTCTCCTCCAGTCTACGAGAGATTGTCCAGGACCAGTCTGTGAAACCCAAAGTCCAGTGCCTGATGGTGGATCCATCATTCTCCATGGTGACAGTTCAGAGCGAGGACAGTGGTATTGTTTGGGAGACAGCCTCCAGCCGCTGCTCTACTCCCTGGGCCTCTGAAACAAGTTCAGTCTCTGAAGCCTGCAGCATGGAGGGCCCTGGAGCCGCAGGAAATATCACCATTGTCTTTGATGAGGAGAAAATCGTCCGCAGGAGGACAAGATCCGGAGGAAGGAGCAGCAGGCTAGGGGACAGGCTGAGCCGACCTGGTAGTTCAAGATCGGCTTCAGCTCTGGGAGTGGAGAGAGCGGAGATGGCAGAGGTTTCTCTTCCCAACGTCAAACAGGAGAAAACCGAAACAGAGCCAAACTTGAAAGAACTCAAAAGCAAAGATCAGCAGCTGTTTAGTTTGATTTCAGAAGGTTATGAGATTCTCAACATTAGAGTCCCCTCCAAACTTCCCACTGTGGATGAGGAGGAGAACACAGAGCTGCAGGATAACTTGTCTTACCTGGACCAGACTCCGAAGATCAGGTCTCGAAACCACAGTGAATGGATACGGCAACAGAATCAAGTCCTGTCAGCGGAAGGGGAAATACTAGATAGCAAGGAGGTATTTATTGATTTATCTGATTCAGGTGGTAGTATTTATAATGAGGTATTTATTTTTTTAACACCAGTTTTGGTTTCATTGGCCTTTTTCCTGCCATTGGCATAAAATGTTCATTTGTTTTAAACACTAAACTGTTCTCAGTGGTTGTAATTTCTCTGCAGCATTCAAAGCAAGATTCTTGCCAGGATTCAGTGGACACAGAGCTTGGATACACACCTGCTCAGAAAGTGAACACCAGTGACGTGGACTACTTTGAGAAATTTACCCTTTTGGATGAGACGGTTCCTGGAGAACAAGCTTCGATGCTACAGGAGGAGGCAGAGCAGCCTGCAGTGAAACCCCAAGCAGAGGAGCAAACACCTACTAAGGAGATAGTCAAAGACAGCCCTTCTGCGCCAGAAGACTCCTTTGTCTTAGTTGCAGATGTGGACATAGTTGGGGAACACCTGGATGAGGTTTTCTACGGAGAAGGAGCTGCTACTGATGCTCTGCAGGGGAGAGAAGATGGTGAGGCCAGGATTAGAACGAGACGAGAGAGTCAGAGATCGATGAAGGAGAGTGGTTCAGTGCTGTTTGGGAGTGAAGAGACCACCCTCACCCCTATCTATATCTCCCCTGGGCCTCCAAAGATCATTGATCCCATCCTTCTGGAGGAGCCCACCGCCATGTCCTTCATGTACTCAGACCTTTACGAGGATGCTGTAGGTGAGAGGAGGAAGAGTGACGAGGAATACTCTGAGGCAGAAAGTGTGACATCTGAGAAGTCTTATGAGAGATGTTTGTCAGATTCAGAGGAGGCAGAGGGGTACCTGGAGAAATTCATTTTGAAGGATGAAACACCCACAGTGGAGGTTCAACCAGAGTCAATGGAGCATGAGAGGGAGGGGAGGATGATGTGGTCGCAGAGTAAATTCGAAACGACAGGATGTTTAACAAGAGTGAGGAAAGAAGAAGATGAGGACATGAAAAAGACAGATGCACCAAAGGAGGGCAGTGGCGGAAGTAGAAGTGAAGATTTACAATCAGCATCAATTAAAAAGAAAGGAGATATAGTTACAGGAAAAGGCGGGGAAGAAATACAACTCTTCACGATAACTGAAAAGCAGCCTGTGAAAGAAGCCTTAGAGGAATCTATTCAAGACTCTAAACTGAGAAAGGATCAGATGGAGGATTGGGAAGCAGAACGTGAGATGAAAAGAGACCAGACTGAACCTCCTGAGAGCAGCACCAATGAGCCACTTTCTGAAACTCAAGCAGAGAAAACAGAGGAGGGTGGCAAGCATCAGAGAGAAGAGGAGCGCATTACTGAAATCCAGCAGTCAAATCAGACACAAAAAGTCGTGGAAATCAACGGTGAAGTGCTTGTGAAGGCTACAGAAGAGAAAGAAAGGAAAGCACCTGTAAACAGTGAGGTGCCTGTACTGGATGTTAAATCTAAAATACAAACAGAAACCACAGATAAGAAATTGTCTGAAGAGACAGTTACTGAAACAAAGATGGTGGCTGCTGGTGAAAAAATAACAACAGTGGCCAAAGCAGAGGCCCCAGCTGAAGTCAAAGAACCTAAAGAGGAAATGTCCACCTTGACTGAATCCTCAGGTGAATCAACTGAAACATTACAATATAAGAAAAAAGAAGCAGCAGAAGTTATTCTTGCAGATGTTGCACCCGTTGAGGTCATCACTGACTGTGATTGTGCAGTACATGCAGTAGTGGAAGTAACTGAAAAAGTACTGAGTGACAAAGAGATTCAAACCCAAGTTCAGATTGATCTTCAGGAAAGAGCAAGTGCTGAGACATCAGCTCCTGAAGGAGAAAAAGAACGTGAAGTTAAATTGCCTGAATTTGTTTCTAAAACTGGGCAGGAGTCACAGGTTAAAATTGAGATTTTGCCTGAAGAAGTGAAGACAAATTCAGAGAAGAAACACCATGAAGTCCTTGATTTCAAGCAGCATCAACAAGAAGAGTCAGTAACTGATAGTGCAGCAGGTAAAACAAAGCTGATAACTGAAGTGAAATCACCCACAGCAGGTGTTGGGACTGCTGATCAGGACATGACGGATGTTAATGATGAGTTAATCCTCCTCGTCCCCAAAGGACAAACTGTAGAGCTCAGTATTGATCAGTGGTCGGGCAAGATTACAAGTGATGTAGCTCTTCCTGAACCAGAACATCTCATAGCACCTGAAGATTCAGTGGCACCCTCAGAGACTCTACGGGCACTGATGGAAGGCACAAAGACAGTGCCTCAATTGGAAGTAGAACCAGAAATTACTGTAATGGAAGCAGAACTACTTATAAATCACTTAGACAGGAAGTACTCACCAGCACCTGTGGAGGAGGAGCAGAAGATGCAGAGGGACTTAGAAGAAGACAAAGGCATCTTTTCTCCTCTGAGAAGCTTTACTCCCCAGGAGGATTTATCAAGGCTGCACAGAGAGGGTATGCAGTTTGAAGAAGGAGATGGAGAACAAAGGGCAGAGATGCACAAGATAGAAGATGCCCCAGAAAGCAACATTACTAAAGAGCGTGGAGCTCAGTATACTGATCTACACACAGAGGATGTCAAGCACAATGAGTACAATGAGGTGGCTCCAGAGGTGCTTGTTGAGGAGCTTGATTATGTGGTCATATCTAAACAGGATGCAAAAGACATGCCAGAATCTGGAATACAGAGAGATGCAGAGGAACCAAGACCCGTGTCTAGTCAGGACAGAGACATAGAAGTGCAGATGGAGGGGAAAGTATTCGATCTGTCAGAAGATCGATTACCAGAAGAAGAGATCATAGAAGCTGACTATGAAATCATTGATGCAGAAGAAGAAAGACAAGCCCGACTCACTGCTGAGCTGCAGGGGATGGACTGGTTCTGTCTCACCTGTGGATGTCTGCTATCAGAGGACGACTGTGTTTCTGAAGAGCATTGCAGCCATGAGGTGAACAATGTGGACAAAGCCTATGAGGAAATCAAGGTAGTGTATACAGGAAAAGGATTAATTTGGTGTATAGCATGTGTTGTATATAGTGATAGCTGTTTTACAACTAGTTTACAGTGAGAGTTTGTGGAGGATTTTAAAGGAGCATTACACCAATTTTACACCAGTTCATTTGGATACTACTTTGTCTGCAGCAAGGGCAGTATTGTGTCTTCTTGCATTAGGCTGTAACACAAAGCCTGTTGGATTTGTGACCAATGAAAAGGGACCAATGAAAGGGACTAAATGTCAGAATGTCTTCTCATCTGCTGCTTTGATTTTGGCAGTTTTTCTTTTTATTTGTCTCTTGCAAGTCCCCCGACCTAAGGAAACTACAGTACTAAATTATTTGATAAAGCATACAATATTTAAAAAAAAAAAAGTGAAATCCTTAAATCTGACAAAGTGAGGCCTGCGAAATAACGTTCAACAGTTTGTGCAACTATTAACTACAGTTTTTTTCTGCAAGCAAATGCAAGAAACAATGCCAGATTAAAGGTGAACTTCTTCTATGTGATACGGTAAATTCAATGGCTCATCATATAATAAACTTGTCCTATATTAGCCAGCTGTAACTTTTCCATTCATGCACTCAGGCTGCTGGCAAGCACATTAAACTGATGTGATGTAATGCTCTGCTTTGATCGGTGGAAAAGTCCAGTGTGACATCATCAAGTGAAGACTGATATTTGATCTGTTCTCCATCACTGTCCTGGTCAGCACTGGGTCAGTCAGCTGCTTTTTTTGTATCTATCTGTATAGAAATTTGTATTAATGTTGTCACACCTTCTTGGAATTTAAAAATCCTTTTGATATCTTTTACCTGCAGTTTTCCAAAAGCCATCTGTCCAGATTTAACTGACAGGTTTATGGGCAAACCTAGCTATTATTAGAGTAGTTAGAGAAGGTTTCTCACGCTGCTACAAGGAGCTTCAATCAGCAGGAGAGACAATGTTCACTTTTCAACTCTGTTTCTGTGATCTACAAGAAAATTTTAGACAACAGAAGTAAGATTTGATAAACAATCACAGTGAAGTATCTGGCATCAAAATCAAAGGGAAGTTGAAAAAACCGTGAATGATTAAATGTCGTTCCAGGTGATATTTGAACCAGGTCTAGTGCGTGTGTTGTGTATTAATGTGAAACAGTGACAGCTGGAACATAAATAAAGACAAAGATCAAACCTAATATACAAGTCTGACTTCAGCACCAAGAAGTGTAGTGTATTCAGAAACTTGATCCTGGCAAGTTCACCAAAGCAACTTAGCAAAACTACATCCAGGTCTGTTTCCTGAGCCAGAACGTAAAACGTGTTCCCACACCTTCAGACTTGGATGTGTGCAAGTATTGACATTCATTCCCCCTCACACACCTGCCCATTTTTTGACTCCTACTGGAAGGGCTGTCAGAAGAAGCAGCTCAGCCTGCCTAAATGTGAGCTGTCATGTGAGCTGTCATCGCCTCCGTTCTTCTTCTTGGAATATGTACCCTGATGATTCCCCTTAAAGCTGCAGCAGGCAGCATTTTAATGTAAACATTAGCTTGTCTCATCAATCCAAAGAATAACAACAGAAGGGAGCAGCTCCCATCACCTGTTAACTGACAGTGGTGGAAGAAGTACTTTACTTTAGTAAAAGTAGCAATACCACAGTGTAAAAATACTGTTACAAGTAAAAGCCCTGCATTCAAAAAAAGGGTATTAGCATAAAAATATACTGAAAGTACAAAAAGTAAAAGCAGTCACTATGCAGAATGACACATTTGACATTGATAAATAAATTGTAATTACTGATGCAATTCTACTTTTGCAGCTGGTAAAGGTGGAGCTAATTATAACTAGATTATATGCTTGGAATTTGAAATACTGCTGGGTGGCTTGTGAATTTCCAGTTGGGGATCAATAAAGGATCAGAAAATGAAAATACTCAAGTAAAGTGCTGACATCTTAAAATTGCAGTTAAGTATAGTACTCGAGTGAATGTACTCAGTTACATTCCACGTCTGTTTCTGATACCCAGCAAGTGATGGATTGGATGTTTAGAGCGGGTGAAAAACTGAGCTCAGAGAAAGGCTAAGCTTTGTGCACCCTTAACATCGTACACACAGGGGTCCACTGGTGATGTTTTGCACACTAGCGGCTGTGCATTGTAGTTTAAGGATATATTCTTCATGTGATATTCAAGTGTTTGACCAACAGGAGAAGCTTGGTGACTGGATCTCAGAGCTTCAAGGCAGATCAGAGAACATTGAAGACATGGTGGCTGAGCTGGAGCTGGCCTACAACTCTGTAGAGGTAAATCACACTCATGTTGTCTCAGTCACATTTAATACTCTTAGGGCATCATTCATTTCACTGTCATTTCAGTTTGTGTTTTCAGTAGAATATGACTTGTTCTCTGTGAAGTCAAATGTCTCTCTTGGCTGTCACTCTCCTCTCGACCAGGACATGAGTGTGGAGTGCGAGGCGGCGATGCATGCACAGAATGAGGAGATGATGGCTCTGGTGATGGATCAGTACAACAACATGTCCATCAGCATGGAGGAGGAGAAAAAGACCAAGCTGGAGCAGCTGTATGATCAGATTGTCTCCTTCCAGGAGAGCATAGACTCCGCCAAGGCCACTCTAGAGACCACAGCCAGAGAGGCTGAGACTGATGCACGGGTGAGTCCTGAAGCTTCTGAGATTCATTGATCACTGGTATCATGTGATTGGTGGTCAAGAATTTGTGTCACATTTTTGATAATTACCTCTTCAATCTGCTCTCCCACCAGTCACCTGAAGATATTCATGCAAGGTAATGTAGTTTCAGTGAATGGAGTGTGAGACACACGGTATATGATAACACAGTAACTAGACAGTGATAACCACTGAGGCATGATACCTGGCCTGCAGGGCTATAACCTTGGGAGTATACTGAATATTAAACAGTAGGAGTAGTTGGCTTTAACATTCTCCACACCAAGCTCAATTAACAGCAAAGAAGGGTTTTAACACAAACTTGCTCTTGTGGCCAGAAGCTAAATGTTGTGGTTGTGTCAGGCTCAAGGCAGCTCTGGACTCAGCCATGTCACTGGAGCTGGGTCCCAGAGGACTACTGGTGTTTGAGGACTATGCCAAGGGCAATGCTTCCAGCTCACACCATGCACAACGCAAAGGAATCCCAGGTTGGTCTGATATGAACATATCCTAGCAGATTTATGTGAAATATGACAAATTCTAGTGTGTGTATGCACACATATGGCAGTTATGAATTTTATCTATCTCCTGGTCTTTGCCTCAGTGCCTCAGAGGCCCACGCTGCAGCCCCAGGAGCCGGGCTCAGCCACCAGCTCCAGTGTCACTGTTTACTGGAAAGTCAACCCTGGGGACATCATAGACTGCTTCCAGATCTACTGTATGGAGGATCCACAAGGAGGTAAAAACTGTCAGGATACTATTTGAACTGCAAAATAGTGGTCAAATTTTAAGGCACTCATTTTTTTTTTTTTAATTACCATATTGTTCATGGACACTGATGAACTGTTTTAATAGAAATTAAAGTTAATGGATTATTATAATTCAAAATGCAATTCATTCTTATTTTTGTTCATTTAAAATGGGTCCATTTTTAACAAATAGATGTTTTATAGGGATATTACCTTGTAGCTTTTAAAATAGGTTTGGAATACTTCCAGATTACAGAAGAGGTTATTTCTGTGAATAACTTTTTACAAACGTAGCGTTGTCATTGCTGTTGTTCGCAGCTGTGTCAGAAGAGTACCGTATGACAGTGAAGGAGAGTTACTGTGGCCTGGAGGAACTGGAGCCTGACAAGACCTACAAGGTGTGGGTGATGGCTGTCAACTATACTGGCTGCTCTCTGCCCAGCGAGAGACTCACCTTCAGAACTGGTCAGTTCATTCACTGAAGCATTTATAATAGCAGTACACCAGCTTTGGTTAAAAAGACTAGAAAGTAAGAGTTGTATATTATTGCAGATAGCAGCTCTGATTGTTTTAATAGTCGTTGCTTAAGGGTAACCTCAGTTTTATTACAGTACCTATATTTTTGGAGTCCAGACCCTTAGGAGCCACAAGTAAATTGCACACTATTATTGACATAATGTCTTTCTGGCAGCTCCATCGGTGCCAGTGATTGACACAGAGCGCTGTTCTGTCATGTGGGATTCGGCCATACTGAGGTGGACCTCAGCAAAACAGCCTCTTGAGCACAGTTACATCCTGGAGTACTGCCGCCAGTATGAAGTCGAGGGAGAGGGGCTCAGGTGGGTCTCAAACACCTTGCTGATCAGATGTACATCATGCAGGTTTTGTAGTTGGTCAGGTTGTTTTCACTTGATTCGTACTGGGTAGGTGCCTGGCAAAATATGAATCACTGAAAAGTGGAATGACTAATGTGTCATTTCTGTGACTGAACACACTGGGTAGGCCAATCAGTTTGGAAAAACAGTTTAATATTAAAAAACGTGAGGCTGTAAACACACATCTTCACCAAGCCAACTGGACAAAAATGTAAATGATTTTCATACACTGACATTTTTAAATGTACAAAGGTTTATGGGTGTGTGTTTCTGTGACATACTCATAGGTCAATCTCAGGTATCAAAAGCTGCGAACAAGGGGTTGTCCTGCAGCCTAATGAGAATTACCTGTTTTACATCAAAGCTGTGAACGACGTTGGAGCCAGTGAACAGAGCGAGGCTGCTCTCATTTCCACAAAAGGTAAAAACACACAATTTGTCTCTGTAGCTGTTTTTGTTTTTCTGCTCTTTCTTGTTATTTATTGTTTTCAGGGACAAGGTTCCACCTGTTGAACACCTCGGCTCACCCTGCTTTGGAGCTGTCAGTGGACCAGACCACCCTGCACTATTCCCAGGACACACACGACAACACACCATTCGCAGACAAACAGTAGGTTTAACACAGTTTTAACCACCTCGCTCCTACAGAGGAAAGCTTTCAAGAACATGCACAAACGTTTATGTATTTTCCAGGTGTCCATCCATCCTGGGTGAGTTGTTGCCGGCACGAGGGCGCTACTACTGGGAGACCATTGTGTCAAGAAGTGCAGCTTACAGGCTCGGGGTGGCGTACAGCACAGCCAACAGAAACAGATCACTAGGGGAGGACACTCAGACATGGTGTTTGCAGTGTGTCCCCACAGCATTTGGGTATGCATGCAAGAATTTCCCCATCACAGGCATCATTCATACATCATTGTTTTGGTCTAAAACCTCCACATTTGGTCTCTTTTGTCTTTCCAGCTGCAGGTATCAGTTGCTCCACAATGAGGTTCAGTCCACTGTGTTTGTGACTGAGATGCCTGAGCGAGTGGGGACTCTTCTGGATTACCAGCTTGGTTGTCTATCTTTCTACAATGCCCAGAATGGTCAGTTGTTAGGTGCCTTCAGCCAGCACTTCACCCAGCCCTGCCACCCTGCTCTGGCCCTGGAGATGCCGGGCAGCCTGGAGGTCAGCATGGTGCCGGAGCTACCGGAGTTTACCAAGGACAGCTAGCTCTGCTATCTGCCTCACACCACAAAGAGTTTAAAGTTCATGTTGGACATTTGTTCATTTGAATTATCTCATCATGAGGGGACATAAAACATACTAATCTCCACAGTAAAGGCAACATATTGGGTCCCATTTATCCAAAGAAGACCTCGTTTTCACACCTGTTTTTACTAAAAAGGAACTTGATCAGCATAGAACTCAATTTAAATTTTTTTTTTTTTTGATTGAACACTAATTCAATTTAACATCATTTTGTATCAGAAATGAAAATGCCTTGTACATACCAAAAACAGAGGCAGTACAAATGAATAATGTATGTGTGGGAGGACTGGATTGAAACTCAGTGGCATGACATGCTTTCACAGGCGAGTGCCTTGTATTTTGTTTCATCAAGGAGCATCATTTTGTAATTCTGACCATTAAGTATGCTGATGTGACCGTTTTGTACTGAGGTGTAACTGTTTTGTGATTTACTCACTTTAGTTGTCCCTGTTTCTGCACACTTACTTACAGATACTGTGAGTAAAGGCTCTGACAACATACTGAAGCAAATACACACTGTAGGCATACTGAGATAAACAAATGTTTTGCCATCCCAAAGTTTACACAGCAAGTGTTATTTCTCCACAAAATATAGAATAGTGCTTTTGAACTGTTTTATATTGTGAATAGGCCTATTTTGTGTAAATAACCTTTGTAAACAGATGTGATCAGTTCCATATTTTGTTATGTGTGACTGATGGCTTACTTTCCCTGTCTTGTAAAGTGATTTTCCCATCAGAGCTGAATGAACATAATTATTTTTCTATTTGCATTTCTATTCCATTTCTATTTGGTTGTTGTTATTAGTTCTCTAACATATAATCACCACCAGAGGGTGTCAGTTCTCTATTAGCCTTAATACGGGCTCAGAACATTGGAACATGTTTATATTCGTTCCCCTCCTAAATGTGGACAAACTGCTTTTTCAACTATAAAATCCAAGGCAGCTGGTAGCTGAACTACACTTTAAGTAAAACGAGAGTGACAGCAGGGTTTGAGAAGCACCCGAAACCACAATTTACTTAAAAAAATCCTATGGCCATGTATTTTTCATCATCTTGTACATTTACCAAAATTAAAATAAAAATGTGTAAAGTTCAATACACAAGTTAAATACAAACAAAAATGTGAGTTGAATGGGGTTTTTCTGTTACAGTTAAAATGGCCTTCAGGCCAAAATCAGTGAGTTATATTTCCACTACCGATCCTAACAACTTCTGCAGATTCTTTCATGCATGTAGATTCCAGATGCCTTTTTATGACTAGTATGAGCTACTGTAGATTTGTGGTCTACACACCAGAGGGCATGTCATTTCTCAGTTATTATAGTAATATTTTCCAGTCATCAATACTGTTTCCCTCTCATCTCTGATACCTTTCCTCATCTCTGGGGGAACAGAGAGTGGGGAGAGAGAGAGAGAACGAAGTGTTCATCTCTGGGGGAACAGAGAGTGGGGAAAGAGAGAGAGAGGACGAAGTAGAGGGCAAACACATGCAAACCATCAGGGAACAGCTTCTGGCTTCCGTGTGACCTGCTGGACCCCTCAGCTGGAACCTGAAGGAAAGCTCTTTGAAAGATGATAGCCCTATTTTACTGACTCTTCACATTGGTGTATTATACTGGGTTGGTAAAGTGGAACGATTTTAAGAATAGCTGATTTCAAGCTTTTTTTTCTGGTACTGAGGAAGGTTAGGACCAAGTTTCACTGATGGCGACTGGCAACTACGGTATTCTAACCCAGTTTCTGTACCTCATCTCAACAACAACTTATTTGACAAACATATTTGTAATCCACAATAATATATGCATAGGACAATAATGTAAAATTACTGTAAATTGAAAACATGCAACATATAAGATGTTTTCAGCAGAAATGTTGCAAGTTTTAAATGTGCTGTAAGTGCACTTATTAAACAGCTAAATCTGAGTAGGAGTCTCTCCCTCGTGTCTGCAAGGGCCTGGACCATTCGTGATGGCATCGTTTCCTTTCAGCTTAATTACTCACATTTGTCAGCGTCTAAGGCCAAAATCACACAAAGAGCTCTCTGTCCTCTAGACAACAGAGGTGAAATGTTGTGTAATTATTACAGCCTTGCTGCAATGATTTAATGTGAAGATAGGGGCAACATCTATTTTTTTAAAAGACAAGCAGGATGGTGAAATTCCACTGGAACGCTCTGACCTTGGCTCCAGGTGACTGTTTATAGAAAGATGCTTGGAAATGTCCTTTTGCTTGAAAAAGTGGGGGGTGAAACTGTGGCTGTGGTTGGATGATCATATTTGTATTTTCAGTAATACAGACAGCTGGTACCAACTGTTAATAGATGATGAACAACAGCAACAGAAATGTCAAAATCAAGAACACTGTTAGCATTTTGCCACCAGCAGTCATGAAGGCACACTGCAGCCATACAATCTGCACAAATCTGTTTGTTGTCCAACAACGTTTTATAACTGGCAGCACACACTCAAAGAATGAACAACCTTTGCTTCAAAATATAGTGCTTTAAAGGGAATGTATCCATGTTTCTTACAAGTATTAATACTTTAAAATGAGTAACAGTTTAGTAATGAGGCTATTAGGGAACACACAGAAAAAAAAACAGAGGCAACTCCTTTCAGTCCAGTTTCTGTACTAGACAATCAGACTACTAAAATTCAAACAAAGGCAACTAATAAGACATTCTCAAATATAAGACATTTCAGCTTAAACACAGTGACTGTTAAATAGGCACATCAAATGAAAGCACAGCAGAAAAGTCAAATGTACTAAAATAATAGTGGAAGTTCATGGCAACAAATGTCTTAAGGACATAAAGGCCTGGATGACCTGCAACTTCTTACTTCTAAACTCTGACAAAACTGAAGTTATTGTGCTTGGGCCTGAAAACCTTAGAAATCTGCTGTCTAATCATATAGTTACTTTAGATGACATAGCTCTTGCCTCCAGTACTACTGTGAGGAACCTTGGAGTCATTTTCGACCAGGATATGTCCTTTAAATCACACATAAACCAAGTCTCTAGATCTGCCTTCTTTCACCTGCACAATATTGCAAAAATCAGGAGCATCCTGTCTCGAAGTGATGCTGAAAAACTGGTCCATGCATTTGTTACTTCCAGGCTGGACTACTGTAACTCTTTACTATCAGGATGTCCCAATAATTCCCTAAAAAGCCTCCAGTTAATCCAAAATGCTGCAGTCCGAGTACTGACAGGAACTAGCAAGAGAGATCATATCTCTCCCATATTAACTTCTCTCCACTGGCTCCCTGTACTTTTCTGCAGGTTGCCCTGGCCCTGGAGCTCTATGTCTCTGACGAGCAGTCCCCAGCCACATCGACCTGATCAGTGTTTGATTGATTGCTGAGTCTTGTTACTTTTCTTCTTTTGTCTCTCCTCTATCCACTCACCCCAACCGGTTGAGGCAGAAGGCCGCCCACCAAGAGTCGGGGTCTGTCAGAGGTTTCTTCCGTTAAAGGGAGTTTTTCCTCCCCACTGTCGCCATCCCCCTTGCTCAAGGGGGATTTGTTGGGATTTCCCTATGTAATAATATTGATAACAGTAAGGTCTAGACCTTACTTTGTAAAGTGTCCTGAGATGACTTTTGTTGTGATTTGGCGCTTTACAAATAAAATTTGATTTGATTTGATTTGAACAACAGAAGTGAGTGGACACAGAATGTCTCACATATCAATCAAACCATAATGCAAACACTCACTAGATTCTATTCCTTGGGAAAACTCTCTCACACACACACCTTTTTGCATGAATATATTAAAACAGTGTGTAAGGTCCTTCAATTACTTCAGTGTATCTGGCAGAGATTGCGAAGAAGCCAATCAGCCCTGCTTCAGGAACAACAAGCAAATTGCACTGATTGTATTCATGAAACTATTTACAGCTATACAAAGCAGGCAAAAGCCGAGCAAAATAATTGGCTATTCCTATAGTCATGACTGCATACATATTGTACATTACACTAATTCTAAGTGTGTGCTTAGAGGGGCCCTGAGGGATCGGAGCCCCTCGATATTTATAAACTGGAATAAGAGAAGATAACCAAACACATTTTGCCATAAGGTGCTCTAGCCCTCTACAGTTCTACATCACTGACCAAGATCTCTTTAACTCAGTAATCTCAATGTCCTCATGTTCGCTATGGTGCATCAACTGTCCTATGGACATGTGAGTAAGGAACAATCCAAACAGAAGATAATGTACATATCCATTAAATAAAACAAAATGAATAAAAATGGATAAGTGGCCCACTCAGAGGCTGAACAGCCCCACTTACATTCTTCTGCTGGACTTTTCATTTCCTGTGGACTTTCTGTTTCTTACCCACTCAGCACCACGTCACAGCATTCTGTCCTTTACCACATGCACAAACTCAAACATTTGAAAAATCCCACACATGCACTTTTCTTTCTCTTTCAGACCAACATGTCTGAAACCCATCCCCATTGCCCTGCTGTCCAAAAGCCTCTTTTAGTCATAAGTCTTCTAATTATTAAGTTACTTTCCTTTCAGGTTCAGCTTTAGAGCATTTTTTTTTTATTCAGGATGCTGAGTGAAATCCGGAGCAGCACCTTTCATTTTCAGTATGTTCCTGCTTGAGTCATAAGGCTGGATCAGGGTTGAAAGGTCAAAGGTTAGGCAGGAGTGGAGCTCTTCTCGCTGACCAGACCATGTTTGGGGTCTGGTCTGTGGGGTTTATGCTGAGGGCTGCTGCGAAGGTTATCATCCATCTACAGTACAGGATGCACAGTTTAGTTAGAGCACACATGCATGAGAAGAAAAGAAGATGACAATGATTCAGTAAGAAACACTACCCGCCAAATACAACAAACTCATGCAAAGCAGAGGAAATGAAGGCAGAAGCACCTTCTCTATCAAGTTGGACTCTTTGTTTACAAGCTGAGTTAGTTTCTGCAGATTGGCATCCACCGTTTCCTGAACAGGTGGGGAAGGACCTGGAGAAAGATGGAGCGAGCGGACACCAACAGAAGGAAAAGAGATTACAGAGGATTACACAACAGGAATAAAGGTCATTAAACACCCCAAAATAAAGCAGGCACAAGGTGCAAACATGCAGTGAGACAAAGATGTGAGAAGAAGTGCAGATGATGTTAGTTGTTTGACTACTTGCAAATGCAAATATTCCCCCTTATCTTAGTGTATTTTCACCAAGCTAAAGTCCCAAAGTGTGAGTATTTCCGATGTGTGCAGTGATCTTACAGGGGTGGTCCGAGCTGAAGTAGACTGAAAGGACGGTGTCACAGAAGCGTGTAAGGTTATCTAGCAGCCTGAGGTGGCTTTGCAGAGGGCCGCTGGGAAGACGGGCTTTGTGGAGTGGAGCCACAAAACCAAACACAAAGGCATCCAGGCTGGTCGGCCTACAATCGCAAATACACATGTACAACAATGTGTCTAAATGAACACTGCAAAGCATTTCTAGGTTGATTTATCCCAGAACGATACACATATGGTCCTGCAGATCAGCATTTAAGCCAGCAAACTTTAAAGAACTCACGAGTTGCCAAAGAAGTAGTCTGCTGTTCCCAGTCTGTAGGAAAGCAGATTCAGGCACTCTTTAGCATCACTGTAGATCTGAGAGTGAGAAAGATGTGAAAAACAGAGCTTTGAGGTCACACTCACACAGAGTTGACATGTGAAGGATGAAATGAGACAGATCAGTGTTTACCTTTCCCTCCACCTCAGAGATTCTGTGCAGTGGCGCCTCTCCTTTGGTTAGAAGGATGCGGGAGAGGGCGGTGTTGGCATGGTGACTAGGAACAAGAAAATTAAGAGGGAATGGCGAACGTGACGCAAACCAAGGCCTCGTCAGGTTGGTGTAGTTTTCAGCATCCACCCAGAAAGTGTGCAACTGTGGGACACAAAGCATCACCCTAAACATTTAACAGTCCTCACAGACCGGTGTTTTTGAGGGAACAAGCAGAAGAGCGATACTGTTACCAGAGCTGGTCGCAGTTTCTCTTCAAGCAGAGCGATGTAGGCCATGGTGTCTGCTCCTTGTCTGGCTGTCAGCTCATAGTCTGCATTAAACCTCTGAAAAAGACAGTTGCTCACAAATATTATAGTAGATCCACTAATTCTGCTAAATGGGTTTGGAGTCATAATGACCAGGTGACGGACAGTGAGCAGCCTTGGCATCCATTCTTACCTGTTTCCTCAGGAAGTTGAGAATATGTGTTGGTTCTTGAACTGCAGTCTCTCCACAAAGCAACTCTGGGACGGCCGCTGCAGGTTGAATGACAAGGATATTATAATTCAAGAGAAAGTGGTGCTGTATCCGCATGAACATTTGGTTAAGCTCTTGTTATGTACTGTACAATGTATTGCGCTCTTACAATTTACATGAATTCATTTCATTTTAGAAGCAAATCAGATGCATAAAAACATAAAACCATGCCTTAAATGTTTTTAAGCCTTTTCTAGCACAAGTGTTTTAACTATGTCAAGCATAGTATTAGAGTTTATTAGTTGTCATGATTTTAAGCATGCAAATTGTTGTAGCCTTGCGTATTTTCAAGAGCATGAAGAAAGCTCCAAATATATTATACTGATCTATTTTCAAACCTATACAAATATACATTCAACAAATATTTTAGTCATCTATTGACCACATATATATATATATATCAAGCAATCCTGACCACAAATGTATGGATTTCTGGTTTATGAGATGCTGCAGCCCACCTGTTAGAGTTTTCCATGTCCAGTCTATAGGAGAAACAGTGACTTTTGCCCCAGAAAACTTGGCGTATGCCTGAAAGAAAACTCAAACTTAAATCTATATCCTAAATCTTACAATGCAACTGAATGCTTTCTGCAATCAGAGTACCATCAGGCACTGACAGGGTGCATCTGGCGCATGAGATTGCTATGATTACAGTGCTGACCTGAAACAAAAATGTACTTTTAATTGAATAACTTGTTAATACATTAATGTTGAAAAACTTTAGCTTGTTTGTTTCCAGAAAAATATTGTTGACGTGATGTAATTTGTGACTGTATTAGAATGCGCTCAATTTAAAAACACAAACCAACTCAAACCAAATGTGTCGCTAATTAAACGCTTTACAGCGGTTTTCAAAGTATGGCGCGCGCCTCCGCTAGGGGGCGCAAGGGGAGCGCAGAGTGAGAAAAGATAAACCAGAAAAAATAAGTGTAAACATTAAACTTAAGCTAGGCCACGTGTGGGGTAAACTGGTCGATTTGTAGTTTTTAAAGTTTGGATTTTCTTGGACCTGATGATGTTCTACTGCCACAGTGTTATTTGCAAAGTGGTTCTAGCTAATGACAGCATGAGACCATGTAAACAAGTTTGGTGATCCAGACAGGGTATTTGTTGATAGGAAGACGGACGAACTGCGATCATAGAAGAAGGTTATTGAGACAGAAATGTGAATACTGATGCAACCCAAGCATCATATCGCGTTACACACAGCCAGTATGGAGTACGCACAATGTGGAGACAGTGAAAAGCAGGGCTGTGCTTAGTGCACAGTGATGATTTTGTTTGGTGGCCGACCGAGTTTGATGTGTTCAAAAATTATATGACTTGAGTAAAACTGCACAGATAGGCGTTACAATGTGTACGAGCCAATAAGGTATTTGGACTTTATGCTTGTCACGCCACGAATCGCGTATATGTGTGTTCTTGTGCTTGCTACATAGTGAGAACCAACCACGTTATTTATTTTGCTACAGAGTGAAGACATTTGTGGAGCATTTTTGACGGTCCCCACTTTGTGAATCGCCTTTTGGGGGCTAAGACTTGGTTTTAGAGTTCAGGTTAGAATTAGGTTTAGCCTAGATTTAGGGTCAGACATTTAGTTTGGATGGTAAGGGTAAGGGAACACATTATGTCAATGAGTGTCCTTACAAAGACAGAAGTCCGCGTGTGTGTGTATCTGTTTGTCACCGGGGCATAGGAGAACAGATTAATTAGTATCACCTGTGCACCGGTTGTTTGGCTGTTCGGTGTGGGAGGGAGGGAGAGCAGCTAGGAACCCTCGTTTCTGTTGACCGCTATGTTGTGGGGATTCTTGACAAGTTTGTCCATGTTCCACATTATGACTGACTAGAGGTAAGACGGTTTACTTCTTCAATAAACCACCAAACATAGTTATGGAGACAATTTTGTTTGGATAACGAGCCTAAGACAAACCTCCCTGGTCTCCCTCTCAGAGGCTAATTGCTATTTTGGATAGTTGCTGCAACAGAATGTATGAGTTTATTGCATTGGGGCTATTTTAGTAAGGCTGCTTTCATTTGTGAATGGACTGTAGAGGATTAATTGGTAAATCATTTTACATATGAATAGCCCACGGTTTACATGTGTATTGCAAAGTGTTGGCTTAAAAGATGTTTACATTTATTGTTGAAAGTCATTGTAATGGCTGAGCGGAACATAAAGTACAACAGGCTACACCAACAGTGAAGATAAAGGTATTTTTTAAAGTATTTATTGCTTGTTGTTATCACTATCTGCTCTGAGGGGAGACTCGCCTCCCCACACTTTGAAAACCCCGGTTTAAAAGATCGATTACGTTGGGTCAGAAAATGACTCTTGGTGTCACCTTGCGGCAAGAACTGTAACCACACGGATTCAATGAGACAGCATGATAAACGGCCAGCAAACAAATCGATGTTTATTTTCTGCTATGATTGTCAACAGCTCGGCCACCGTTGATAGTTAACTAGCAAGTATAGCGAAAAATCAAATTACATTCGGAAAGCTAACCTTGAAGGGACCAGTCTTGATTAGCAATGAGAGTGACTTTTGAGAGACAGACACGCGAAGTTCAAGCCATGCTATCAGTACAGCTAGTATTTTTACTACTGGATAAACACACAATACTGGTGGAAGTAGTCATTTTTATGTCCTGCAAGTCGAGCAAACGGCCAATAAGTAGCCAAATTAGCACTGAAGCTAGCCAGAGTTGCAAGGAAAGCCGAAGGCAGAAACCTGCCGTCCTAAAAGCAAGACTGGATGCAATGGCTGTATTTTTACAAACATGAGACAACGGTACCAGAACTATCAGTGACTCGGTGTGGACAGATGGCAGACCCCAGTCTCCTCCCCAGCATCTCAGCTCCATGGCCGCCGCCATGTTGGAGTCATAGAGGGAGCCGGTTACGTCACGAGGTATCTTGAGAGGAAAGGTGTTCTGTCATGTGTATGCCAGGCGATTTTAACATTTAAAAGGTTTCACTTGAACATCCATAATTGTGTTTCGGATATCTAAAACGGCATATTGATTAGTCAAAATTACAATGCAAGTAGTCATAACGAGAAATCAAGATATCCACAATTGTATCATGACCAGTAAGGACAATTACATTTCGAATAGTCACAATTCCATTTTGGATATCCGAAATTACGTCACTGCGCCGTTTTAGCATTTATTAGACAGTTCATATTACGGGTATCTGCAATGTAGTCAAAACTCGAATTAAAGATATCTGCAATTATATTTTGACTAGTAAAAATTCCTCATTGACTTGAATGGGAAAACAAATTTAAGATGCCTATAGTTCAGTTCTGCCTATCCGAGATGTGAATTCCACTTATCTGTAATTACATTCTGACTAGTTAAAATTCAAATTAAAGATATGCTTATGTAATGTTGATCAGTCATAATTCCACTTATAGGTATCTTTAATTCGGCACAAAATTTTCTTTTTGGATGTCTCAAGCTAAGTGGTGGCTAGTCGAAATTCTAGTTTCAGATAACTTAATTTCGACTAGTCAAAATGTAATGCAATATCTGTAATTCGGGTTTTGACTAGTCAAAATTTAATTGCCGATATTTAAGAGTTTTGAGTAGTCGTAAATACATTGTAGACAACTGTAATATGAATTCCGTCGATCTAAATTGCTAAAACGGCGCAGTGACGTCATTTCATATTTCCAAAATCACGTGACGGGGGTGATTGCGGAAATCCACAGTGGAATTGTAGATATCTTTGTCATTCCTACTAGTCAGAATGTAGATATCTAAATTTAATACGCATTGTACAATTGACTAGTCAAAATTCAATTCAGATATCTGAATTGCGATTACTGATAGGGTATAATCACTAACTTTTTATGTTAAAAGGGCATCCTTAAATACATTTACAAGATATCCATAATATCTTTGTAGAGATCTTGAAACCAATCATGACTAGTTAAAACTCATATTTTGACTAATCTGAAAATGGCGTTTTGGCATGTACAATTGAATGTTTCCTAGTCATATCTTAGTTTGAGATATCCAAAAAGATAACGTGGATATTTTTTAAATGTGTCAAATTAAAGCTGTCTGCAACTGGAATTATGACTAGTCAAAACCCCATTAAAGATATCTTTCATTTGAATTTTGACTAGTCATGTAATTACAGATACCTGGAATTTAGATTTCAGATAGGCAGAACTGAACAATAGATATCTTAAATTAGTTTTCCTATTCAAGTCAATGTGGATTTCTTAGTAGTCAAAATGTAAGTATCATTAATTAATTCAACTATATTGTCAATTTTATTGCAGGTATCTTAAATAATAGTTTTGACTAGTCATAAATACATTGCAGATATCTTAAATGTAAGTCCTGTCCACCTATTTAATGCTATAGGGGCTGTCCCTGGGCTGGTAGTCAGACAGTTGAAGGCTGTTGAGGGATGGTAAATGTCTGTCTGGCTCAGACCAGCAGCTGAGATGTTGAAATGTACTTGAGGTTAATAGAGAAAAGTAAGACAAGTACCAGACATCTTTCATGAAATGTTTCCAGGGTTAAAAATGGCCCCAAGTCCAGCCCTCTTTGGCCTTCTTTTCCCACATTCTCCAACAGATGGAATTTAGAAAAGATTTGCAGAGGCTTGTAGAACAAGTTAAATAAAAATCAAAAACAGCTGGCATACAGTTAAGCTTAACAGTTCAAAAGGCTTCCTGAAGATGAGCTAAAAGATCAGATCCACATCTATTACACAGGCTCATGTTTGTGAAAAACAGCTGCCATCTGGAATCAGGTTTTCCTCTCCTGAGACCCTGGCACAATCCATAAAAAAAAAAAAATTCTTTGAGTTGGCTGACTGCACTGTATACAGGATAATTTAGAGTACTTCTTAGACAATAGACAAAGATGAGGAATAAAAGTTTTATCTGTACTCCTAAATAAAATAGTCAAACAACAACAAAAAAAAATCACATTTAGCTGAGTATAAGCAATGCAGTACTCTGCTAATCCTTTTTTAGAATAAAATACTGTAGGATGCTATATTTTTTTTGTTTTTAAAGGTTTGAGTTATTTGTTTCCAATATGCAGCAGTATTGTTTTAGCTATAATGGCCATGGTCAATATACAACATTTAAGGTAATCAGTAGCAAGGGAACACTCCTACACACTATGAAAATAGTCCCTGCATTGTGCCACTTTTGTAACGGTAGCACAAGAGGACACTCCCCTTTACTTTAAAAGCTGTGCCTGTGACCACAAAAGCATCTGACCTCTGCTGAGATTTTGCTTCCACATGTGATCCTGTCACTCTCTCCGTGGATAATCGGTCTGTAACGCTTTTATTAACCCACAGAAGATAAGTAGTTTCTTCACAAAGTCGTCTTCTGAGGTGTGTCCCATGTTGATGATGAGTATAGGTTGCAGAGCAGTAGCTCTGTCTCTGGTGCTGCAGCAGCTGGTGCTCACTATCACAGCTCAAGGCAGTGGTAAGTACTGGTTCGTCATCTATTTCTTTGAGGAAAACCTAAAATGTTAAACCTTATTGCATCCCTGTTTAAGTAGCCATTCCACTTTTTCCCATTTCCACATTTTTAAAATCTGTTGTCTGGTCTTTACGAATTATAATGTGCAACAAGCTGCAGATAACAATAACTGTTTATTTGGTTGACATGAAGTTGGCTTTATTTTCTCTGAGAGTGCATGTCCAAAACTTTAATTTGCCTGGATTCTATGTGCAAATTTTTTTTATACAATTTCCTGTCACTTCATATTATTCTTGAATTTAGGTCATGCCTTGTGTTTGTGTATATATGTGTGTCTGAGTCTGTGAGTGTGAGGCAGTGGGTTTGTTCCACTGGAACAAACCCATTCTGCAGCTCCAGTCTATGGCTCCATTAAACACAGCTGGATACAAACGTAGTCACACTGTTGCACCTAATAAAGTACCATAGTTCACTGACTCAGCAGTAGCACTCCACAGTACACTGCGAGTCATAGGCATCAAGACACAAACTCAAAAATACTCCATTAAAATTAACTTGGAAAGAATGTCAGCACAACTTGCAGTGCACCACATGAAGTATTGGTATGGTCAAGAGTTCTCAATCTCCATGCACATTATTGATTAACCACTATACTGAACGTTTCCCTCACTGTCTGTTAAACTTGACTTTTTCTCTCCTGTGTAGTTTATGACCTGCTGTCGTCTTCAGAGTGCCTGCCAGACTTGCTCCAAGGAAGCCTAAAAGCTAAAGGGAGAGACGAAGCTTTTCTCCTGTCTTCCTTCAGGCTCCACAGCCAGGCCCCTACCTCTCTCTACAGTATCATCAACCCCAACGACAACACCAAGTACCTGGAGCTCAGTGTGCATGCCAAACTGAGCAAGGGTGAATTATTCTATTGATGCATGCATCAACTACAGACTATATCACCAGCTATCTCGTTTAACTACTCTTCTCCTTTCTCTTCCTCTCTACTCACTATCTCTCTTCTTCCTTCCATCTCTAGTTACCATTCGTTACCAGAAGCCTGATGGTAGACTTGGCACAACCAGTTTCAACCACGCCTCCTTGGCAGATGGCCAAGATCACCACGTGATGCTACATGCCAGTGGCCTACAGCGTGGCCCACCACGCCTTGACATCTATGTAGACTGCAGACTGGCTCACACCTTGAATGATCTGCCAGCTGCTTTCGGCTCACTTCCACCTGGTCCTAACAAAGTGGCACTTCGGACTCTGCAGTCAAGTGGACAGGTAGATAAGGATTTATAGACATTTTTTTTTTTTGGTAGAGCCTAATTATTATTAGAATGGGTAAATATGAATATATCTAAACATTTCCTGATAGACATGTGCTAAATTTCATTCTTGCCATGTGATATCTTTCTTCCCTTTAATATTCTGTAAGGGTGAACTGACAGACTTGAAGCTGGTGATAGAGGAAACTGTAGACAATGTGGCCACTTTACAGGACTGTAGCATGGATCAGGGTGAATCTCTACAGCTGCTGGGTGAGAACAGACTGCAGCTGATTTGACATCACCTGACACATACATGCAGTCACTTCTAACTTGTAGGTGTGGGGGTTTGGAATTTGTTTTTTGCAGGTCTGATAACTTAAAGTGGTGGAAATAACATCATCAGTCTTGAACAAACAAATTAAATCAGTGACCAAATATTACATTTTTGTTTACATATACATTTTTTCCACAGTATAGTTCTGCTTTGTGAAATCCTCTCAGGTATTCAGGGAGGCAGGGTGGTGTATGACCAGGCCACCGTGCTGGAGCTGAAGAGCATGCTGTCTGAGATGAGGGAGCTTCTTCACCAGCAGGTAACTTCTTCTGTTTCACACAAATACTGAAACTGATTAAAAGCTTGGGAAAATAATAAAAGACCTACACACCACTTAACCTACAGGTATAGTAAATAACCCAGTGATTTGATTATCTTGTTGACCGCCAACATATCTGATCAAACGGAAGACAAGTTTGACATGTACAAAGGATTAAATTAGGTTTTTTGGGGAGCTTTTGTAATAAAATGTGGAGAGTCCCCTGGTTGTTGTGAAGAGTTTGATTATGTAACAGTTGAAGATTGTGGTCTGATTTACAACCTTTTGGGAATTTCCCTCTCTTCAGAGTGAGATTTTCTCCTATAAAGTCAGCAATTTATTTTCAAAGGCAAGAATCCAGACTGAGCTCTGGTTTCAAAACCTTATGTAACCTCAGCAACAAACAGCTGGGCAAGAATGAAAACTTGACTTTCACCTGAGCAAGCAGAGAGAAGTGGACTATTTCAGATGATCATTTCAAGCAGAGGATTCGCTGTAAAGTGATAGCGGCACAGCTTACCCTGACAACACTCTGAGGAACACCATCGCAGAATGCCTTGCCTGTGGTAAGCAGTGATGAAACTTATTTCTTCTATTTAGACACTACTTACAAAGTGACATTTCAGCAAGGTGCTTGTATATCAGTCTGTGTGTGCGTGCAGGTCTCGGGGGCAATCCAGCTAGTCCAGGTCCAGGTCGAGGTCCAGCGCCGTTTGTCATGCCTCCTCCACCTCAGACACAGTGCTCACCTGGGACCTGTTTCAAACAGGACATGTGCATCCGTTCAGAGTCGGGAGATTTCCGCTGTGCCCCATGTCCCGAAGGATATACAGGAGACGGGGTGTATTGTGATGACGTAAATGAGGTATGGATTATGTATTTTTGGTGTTCATGTGTTTCTTTGTGATCCATAGACTGTACAGTCTATGGTGTGACCGCACCAGAAAAGTAGAACTAATTAGCACCTGGCCATCTGTTTTATGTTTTAGTGCCAGTTTAACCCATGTTTCCGCAGTGTCCAATGTGTGAACACTGCCCCTGGTTTTCGTTGTGAGAAATGCCCTCTTGGATACACTGGACCAGAAATAAATGGAGTGGGAGTGGCCTATGCAAAAGCACACAAACAGGTACAACAAAAAAATCAATAATACATTGTATATAAAACATTCCTTCTCTTCTAGTTACGTCTCATATCAGAATACACTCTATATTTGTAGTCTATTCTGTTCCTCTCAGGTGTGTGAGGACATAGATGAGTGTCTGGGCCCACCTGAGAATGGAGGCTGCACTGCTAACTCCCACTGCTACAACACTATGGTACAACCACTGGAATGGGGACATGGTTATTACCACACTCTCCTGTAGCAGAATTCCCCGGTTTCTGACTCTGTACTGTCCTCACCAGGGCTCCTTCCGCTGCGGAGAGTGTAAAGCTGGCTTCACAGGTGACCAGGTGAGTGGCTGCCATGGTGCCAGGCTTTGCGCCAACGGTCGACCCAACCCTTGTCACGCCGACGCTAAATGTGTCATGGAGCGAGATGGCAGCATTAGCTGTGCGGTGAGAATTTGCACCAGAAAATATGAAGCTGAATTACTTTTTTGTTGTCCTACATTTAATCACACACTTGCAATGTACATGTTCTGCCTTTTTCCTTTGTGCGTGTGTCTTAGTGTGGTGTTGGTTGGGCAGGTAATGGCTATGTGTGTGGAAAAGACACAGATATTGATTCATATCCTGATGATAAGCTCCCGTGCATAGAAAACAACTGTAAGAAGGTACTCGTTTCTACATCCCCTAGTCGCTCTTGCATTTAATTAATTAAAAATAAAATTAAAAAGATAATGCTGTGTGTATTTCTTGATATTGTTTCCAGGACAACTGCCTTGATGTGCCAAACTCTGGCCAAGAGGATGCTGACGGGGATGGCCTAGGTGACGCCTGTGATGAAGACGCAGACAATGATGGCATTGAAAATGGCAAGGTAGGTGGCCACAGTTCCAGCATTAAATAAACATAAATAGGAATTAGTGTCTCACTGAGCCCAGGCCCCTATACAGTAAACCTCATTCGTCTGTCACAGGACAACTGCAAGTTTGTTCCTAATGTGGACCAGAGGAACAATGATACTGATGACCATGGCGACGCATGTGACAACTGCAAAACTTTAAACAATCCGTCACAGAAAGATACAGACCAGGACGGGCTGGGAGATGAATGTGATGATGACATGGATGGTGACGGTAAATGTTTTGTATTATTTAACAGTCAAATAATTGTTGCAGTCGCGTGATCACTGTACATCATGGGTTTTCAATCAGTGGTCCATGGCCCAGTAGTGGTCCACGAAAGCATTGCAGGTCATCCCTGACCATGCATTTCTATTGTGTAGGTTCAATGTAGGAATCATACTTTGAGTTTTATTTCATATTTATATTGTGTACAAATTTCCATGTATTACAAACTTTTTCTGAGTAATCAAATCCATGCAAATATTTAAAATTTAGAGAAGCCCAGGTGATTTTCAAGATTAAATTAGTGCCCGTCCATTCCACCACAGTGGTGCTTATGTTACTTAGTCAGAATGGTGGTCCCTGGGTCAGAATAGACCCCTGCTGTACATCACTGGGTGTAATTAGAGAGACAGTGTAGCACCTGTCATGAAAAGGGTTGGATGGTCACTGCTGTGGGAGGTGCAGCAACAGAATTATTCTTGTTTTATTGCATCAAATTAAAGTAATAAATTTGGGAACACAATGTGAAACCAAATCGCAATAATATGCATCCATGTCTGTGAGGCTCTCCAAACCACAGCCTTCTTGGAGCAGACTGTTCAGAAAAGAATGTGTTTACTGTTTGGAGGATGCAGACAGGGACCTTTTTGTTGCCTTCACTGGACTGGCACAAACCATTCTTCTAGTCTGTTTCCAATTCTGATCCTCCACCAGTTGGATCACTGGCTTTCAGGGAAACAAGTCAAGCGTCATTTAAAAAAAGAAAAACAACCTTTTGAAAACCCCAGTAGAAAAACTTGTTAAAAGTTAATGGTCCAGCTTGCGCACGCCATTTGTTTGGCCTTTTAGAACACCTCTCATTTGTTCCTGTGGAAACCGTCTTAACTTCTTGCCTTTTGTGTGTTCTCGCATTTTTACTTTTACACGCTTACATATGCGACATGTTCAGACTCTGTTTGGTCACTGCTGTTCATTCGCTTTGGCAGAGCACCTACCTCTTGATCATTTGGTTTTGTCTTTAACTCCAAGGCTGGATTGCTAAGCGCTTGGTCATGTCTGCCTTCTCTCTAAAAGCATTTTTCCATGGTACTGGCCACTAGAAACGATTTCACCCTCGTCTTAAACAAACACTGCCATCTGGTGATGCATTTGACGCCCTGTGTCTGTAGGGTGCGGTCTGTCATTCTTTATTCATCTTTCTGTCACCACTTTTACACAAGATGCACAAAGGATTGAGCTGAGGTGTTTGTGTTCTAAGGCCTAAAGAATTTTCTTGACAACTGCCAGCAAGTCCCCAACCCAGACCAGAGTGACAGAGACGGAGATGGGGTGGGAGATGCATGTGACAGTTGTCCTGATATGGCCAACCCTAACCAGGTAACAGACCAAACAACAACCCGAAAACGTTTCATCTGCTGCTGCAACTCTGACCAGCAGTTTTTCTTTTTTACCTGCAGTCCGACTCAGATGCTGACCTTGTAGGAGACAGCTGTGACGACAACATAGACAGGTAGAGCCCACTGTCATGCCCTATGGTATGAACATACACAAAGATGATTAAAGTATTTTTAACCTTCCTCCGTTCTCTGTCAGTGATGGTGATGGCCACCAAAACACAAAGGACAATTGTCCCACAGTCATCAACTCCTCTCAGCTGGACACTGACAAGGATGGAATGGTTTTAAACATATCTCTTCCTTCATCCTTTTATTTAATGCATCATTTTATCTGTCCATAGCTGTGTTAACACAAGTCCACATGTCACTTTATTTTGGTAGGGAGATGAATGTGATGATGACGATGATAATGATGGAATACTGGACCATGTGGACAACTGCAGACTAGTTGTCAACCCAGACCAAAGGGACTCCAATAGTTTGTATCGCTTGTTGTTCCTAGCTGTGTACATGCATGCATAAAGTATGTGTGGTATTTGCTGCTGTGCGGTTCCTAAGCTGTCGCCTTTATTTCAGATGACAAAGTTGGAGACGCCTGTGAACAAGACTTTGACAAAGACAGTGTCATTGATGTAATCGACCACTGCCCAGAGAATGCTGAGATCACCCTGACTGACTTCAGAGCCTATCAGACCGTAGTGCTGGACCCAGAGGGGGAATCCCAGATTGACCCCCACTGGGTGGTTCTCAACCAAGTAAACAATAGCCAAGATTCAAATCCCTTTCTGAGCTAGTCTGTTTCAATAGTCTCCATATAAGGCTAAAACTTGTTCCTGGCATTTAAATAAATGTGTCACTCAACTGTATAGAAAAATGTAAACACAATGAACTAGTTATTTTAGAATGAATCAACACATTGCATGTGTCCCATGATGGTGCACTTCAATTGGATTGACTCTTTTGTTCTGCCAGGGGATGGAGATAGTCCAAACTGTGAACTCTGATCCTGGCCTCGCTGTAGGTAAGTACAGAATACTTTTGTATTGTTTTCATGCGTCTCCTCCCCTAATCAGTGCCATTGTGTGTTTCATATCTGTAGGCTACAAAGCTTTCAGCGGGGTTGACTTCGAGGGAACATTCCATGTAAACACGGTGACAGATGACGACTACGCCGGCTTCATCTTTAGCTACCAGGACTCTTCCTCCTTCTATGTGGTGATGTGGAAACAGACAGAACAAACCTACTGGCAGGCTGCGCCCTTCAGAGCCGTCGCTGAGCCAGGAATACAGCTCAAGGTTTATGGGATGTGTTTACCGTCACCCACTGTTGTCAGTTTTTCCCTCTTTTTCTAATGTAGTTCTGTGTCCCCAGGTGGTGAAGTCTAAGACGGGTCCTGGTGAGTATCTGAGGAACTCCCTCTGGCACACAGGAGACACAGCAGGGCAGGTCCGTCTACTGTGGAAAGACCCAAGGAATGTTGGCTGGAAGGACAAAGTTTCCTACCGTTGGTTCCTCCAGCACAGACCACAGATCGGGTACATCAGGTACAGACAGACACACCATCACTCAGACATACACAGACATGCTGCGAACAGACTAACTAGTTTGAACTCTTGCATGAACCAGGGCTCGCTTTTTTGAGGGTTCAGACGTGGTGGCAGATACAGGAGTGATAATTGACACCAGTATGAGAGGCGGGAGACTGGGTGTGTTCTGTTTCTCCCAGGAAAACATCATCTGGTCCAATCTGAAGTATCGCTGCAATGGTGAGTGTCTCCAAGCTAAAGACAGGTCAGTGAGCAACATTAGCTCCGT